CGAGTCTTGAGCAACGAGGGTCTCGCCCTTATCTTTCGGGTTACCATTCTCTCACCGCGCGGGAGCCTGGTATATAGCTCACTCCGTACGGTACCTACTCCGTAATACCTACTCCGTAAGTACTAAGAAAAAGATGAAAATCCTTCCAACCCGGGCAATGCATGAAGCGAGTGGCTGAAAGAGCTTATTGTCCCCACTCGAATCCCTGCTGGTGTTAGATTGCAGCCCACTTCTTCTGGCCCTCTGCCACGGATACCAGCATTCAGGAATCGCTACTAATGAGTATTCCGACGCAGTCGAGTTGACCTTGCTATCATCGGGATTAATGGTTATTATTCCCCGGGTCGAAGTGGAGCCCCCCCTCCTCTCTAAATCGGGACTAGCGAGGCATATCCATCCAGAGCAGAGCGTCCCAATCCGGCAGGTCCGTAGCCTGCGAAACTGGGGTAGTTTTCGGCTAAGGAAGTTTAGCAAATTGAGCGGATGCAGACTCCGTCCATCTGACAACACTGAACAGTCTGAACATACCGTCCATGTCCTTCAGATGAGGCAGGGTCTCTGTACTCCGTAACAGCCAACTTGGATGCACCACCAACGGCATCCGCATCTGCGGTCCAGCCAATCCACAACGGATATATTGCGGACACTAAAGCACGTCCGTCGGCGTTCATCGTCCAATTTGTTGGCTGGTTCCCCTGTTCTAGAATGTCCTTTCCTTTCCCTCCGAAGATCAAGGGAAATCATAACGAGCCACACCATACCGCCCCTATCGGCGCAGAGCAGCACTCAATGATGGCTCATGATATAAGAAGAAAAAAAAGCACGTAGTCAATCTATGATTTCCAGGATACAACTGGCAGTATACTTCGTGTAGTATATGACCCTACTCTCTTTACTTCTACCGGACCTTGATTTGATTTCTTTTTTTAGTTTGTGATGGTGTTTCGTCGAATTGATTGAATGAAATACCAAATATTATTTTTCTTTTTTCTTTTCTTTTTTAATTACTTTTTCCCTTGAAGGAGGGGGGAAGGGGGGGAGGGGAAGGAAAATAAAAAATCGAAATCCAAGGGAAAAGGGAAAAGTGGGGCGAATGAAAAGCAGAAGATTCCGCCTGCGGTCGGGGATTCTTTTGGTCGCCTCTTTTCCCTCTTTCCTCTCTCCCCTCTCCCTTCTGCTGGTACGATCGATGGTCTGATGAAGCGATACAAGGCCTAGACGGTCCAGGGGGAATACATTCAGTACAAGCCCTGAGAAGAAGAGTAAGTGTGTACGAGTCAGAGTGAGAGAGATATTGTAGGGCCCAAAACAATGGGTAATAACCTTTCATCTCACACATCCTTCTCCACTTCCCAAAGGGCTGTCGCCTGTCAGCCTGTCTTCGGTCTTCGTGATCAAATCCCCACCAAATCCATTCGTGCCTCCCTCATTCGTTGCGTGCCTTTAAACTAAAGTCACCAACTAACCTCGAACCAGGGCAAGAGAGAGAGAGAGAGAGAGAGAGAGAGAGAGCAAGAAAGCCCTGTGGATTGTTATTTGTTAGTGAGCCAGTCGTTTCCCAAACCCTCGTTCGTTCTTTCTTTTCTTTTTCTTTTTCTTTTTTTTTTTTTTTTTTTTCTCTCTCCCTTCGCTCATCTCTGGTGCGAGCGACCCATCCCATCCAGATTATCCACACCCTTCCTGCTGGCTCACTGGCTCCTGCGGCCCCCCCCGGTCGCCGGGTCCGTCTCTTGCCCTCTTGTTATCTCCATTCATTCAATCAGACTAGACTGACTCCGGATCGTTATTCTGGTCCTTTAGCTGCTGCATTGAAAACCTACTGCGATCCCCACCAGCCAGTACCTCTCCTCCATAGTCTATGCTGAACCTCGGGGGATTCCGATCCACTCACAACTACTATTACAAGTTACAACGCCTACTGCTACAGCTCGCTCACTTAACTAACTATTCTCTCTTTTGTCCCTGTCTTTTCTTTTCTTTTTTTTTCTTCTTTTCCTTCGTCCTTTTACCCCTCCTCAATTGTTCCCTCATTCCGCTGCCTCTTCGCCTCTTCTTCACCTAGTTCCATTCCCTCGGTGCTCCCTCAAATTACCTTTGCCACTATCATTCTTTCCCCCCCACCACTCCGCCCTGTCTGTCCCAGCCCAGGTCCCTCCATGTCCTCCCCTCTTTAACTTTGTCTTTCCACGCTTGTGATTTCATCCTTCACTTCTCCTGTCCATCACCGGGTCCTTTTCACCTTCAACTCTCCCACCTCCGTCTTTCGGGGTCGTGTCTGCCGTCTCTAGAGTCACTTTTTGGCGTTTCTTGCCCCCATCATCACCTCTACCGCCTTCTCGTGTCAGAAAAAAAGAGGCCTTTATAATTCTTATAGTCTTGTCGGCCGCAGTCGAACCTAGCCCTCATGGAGGGCTTTGATACCATGGCCATGCCATACCTAGCCAGCCCATTGTCGCTTGGCAATATCCAGAGCGCAGATTATCTCAATTCTATGCCGGGGATGGAAATCCCGGACCAGCGCTCGAACTTCGACTCGGATACATTTGTTAGGTATGCTCCCAGGCACACCCGGCTCCGGCATGCTCACTAGGTCATAGGCGGACTGCTAACGTTTTCTTTGGCTCAGCGGAGATGACATACCTTTTCCTCCAAATGGTTTGCCGGCGACATTGAAGAGGTTCCCTTCGGGCTACGAAGATCCTTTCACAGACATGGTGACTCCGTTTGAACCTGCACCGCCCGAGCAGTCTGCAGATTCGTCCATCGACCACAACAACAAACTACTAAGCTTTTCCGTACCAGTGTATAGTTTCACACTTCTCGACTATTCATTACGGCGAACCTCCTTGTCACTTTCGGCCCAGTTGCACGGCATGTTCTTCCTTGCAGAGTCACCTTGGACTACATCACCTGCCGAGAATGTTCCACCCCAACAGGGTGCTGAATTAACTTGCTACCGCCGCAATCTATTTCAGATTACGGGGTCGGTCACGCTTCCGCGGAGTTTGCGCTACATTATGACCGAGCAAGGCGATCGGATACCTATTCTGGCCCAAGAGCTGACTGTTTCCGCCACTGAATCAGTGGAAGGCAATTCTGTCAAAATTATATCGGTTCCGTGGAAAACCCCTGCGGCCAACGGAAACCCCCTCGGCGAAGAGGGGAACAATTCTACGGGTAATACCCCCAAAATCGAAAAAGAGCCCCCTCCAATCCCGTTGGATATAATGGCCGGTCAAGATCTCGACACCGACTACGCTACATTTCCCATCGCATGGAAACGGCTTCAATTCCGAGTCGCAACGGCCAACAACGGGCGCAGAAAGGAACTTCAACAGCACTTCGTCGTTCGACTCAAGGTCGTCGCCACTTTGTCAACCGGTGCAAAGATCCCCATATGTGAGGTGCAATCAGGGCCTGTAATCGTTCGAGGCCGAAGTCCGCGCAATTTTCAGTCCCGCAAAGACCTGCCCTTAAGCGGGAGCGCCGCTGCATCCAGGAAGAATGCCCAGGCCTCTCACTCTGCATCGGTCAACCGAGCTTCTGCTAGTGAAGCTGCCCTGCGCTCTAGTCAGACAGCGGCAAAGGTCAAAGTCACGGCAAAAAGTAGCTCTCCCGATACCACAATATCCCAGGCTGGTATTATTCCCCAGCAAGCATCTCCGGATTGGAACCAAACTTCTCGGCCTGCAAGTGGCGCGGTTGCTTCTTCAGCCCTGCCTCACTCATCCCTATATTCCCAGTCCAGCCCGGAATACTCGAGGCCAACGGAAAATCAGCGACGAACGAATTCCGTCGCCGCTCCTATAAACCTGTCTTTATTGGATGAAGAAGACAGCGGCGAGGCCGTCAACGTAAATGATTCAGTTGGTTCGACTTCCTCTTATATCAATGACGTGCTAAATAAGAACCCGGGTGCTCCTGGGTCTGCACCGCCGGCGAAACTGCGCAAACTGTCCCATGGTCTTTCCCAAACGCCAACACGAGCCTCGTCATCACTACCGCTGTTGAACGCCACAAACCTACAGCAGCCCTTTGCGTCTACTTTACCGTTTCCAAACGAAAATTCCGACCTTCTATATGAGTATTTCCCTCTTGGATTGGATGATTGGCAGGCGCCTGTCGACGCAGTTTACCGACCGCATGTCGTGCATCACACCAACATGCCGGAGATGAAATTTGTTGCTGCTCGAGGCCGAAGTAAACGATATTTCGCCGCGGAGGATGTGTTTTAAGGTTAGGTTTGAATCAAGCCGCCGAAGCACCAACCATGATCACGTCGCGCCTGGACTTGGATATCCGGCCAGTTCATCTTACAAAGATGCGCATTTGTGTGGGCAGGGAATCACTTTTTTCTCTTCTGTTCTTTTCTTTGCCTTGTCCATCTGGATGGATATGTTCTGGGTTGTAGGGCCTCTTTTCCCTCGCCCTTTGGCACAGATGCATGTGCCTTTTCTTCTTGTGGTTCCCATTTTGCGATTTATGTTTCTCGTTTGGACTGAGTCTCATTTTGCAATGGGTAGGGACGTGCCGGGCATAGGACCATCCAGGAATGTATTGTTAATGGAATAGTGTTGTCACGGAGTGAGGGATGAATCCGGCGCGAAGGAGTTTAGGTTACCGGGGGAATCGTTTTACATGCTCTTAACCCCCATTTCTATTCGGCTCTGTTTACATATATTTGATTCTGTTATGAGGTCATGTTCGATTTGGGTCAAAGATTTCCAATCCGCGGTCTTATGAGGAGCATTGATAATCGGCTGGTCATTTGGAAACACTCTCCCCTGGGAGTTAATATATTTCTTCTTTTTTTTTTAACCGTCCCTCTTCCCTCTTTCAATTATCTGCGGGTGGGGACACGTGCCCCCAAAAAGAACAATCGGAATCTATAATTTCCGGTGTATTGTGTCTATACACGCCGCATAGCCCCGAAAAAGGGGGGGTTGCTATATTATGGTCATTGAAGTGCCTATCCTTTGCCAAGACTTGAATACTAGCTACTACAGAAATCCAAGCCCTGCGCCGCCAATGGCCTCAAGATCTGCCTTGATTTCCCATTGGTTCGCTCCTACACGACTGGCCAATTCACTTCTGCGGGTTACGCTCAAATCCAGCCATCGAGTGAGGAGGGCACCATCGAGCATACCTCTCCCCACGCTTCCGTCGCTTTCAACGGCCCGGAACGCGCGAGGATTCAGCCCGCAGGGATGCTCCAAGGCGTTTGTCAACTGAGACTGGAGGGCGGAGAGACGACGGTATGATTCTTCGGAAACGCAGGTCACCAGACCGACGGAGCCGTTTTCCGTGGTCACCAGCACCTGATGTTGTGAAACCTGCGTGTCGACGTCCATTTCATCCGCGTCGGGGTCGACTCGCTCGGAGGAGACCATGGTCCGCGGGAGTAGAGTTAATGTCGATACGAAGCTGCCCACGTGAAACTTGCTCCGATTGAGAAGTTTGTCCCCGTTGGATGATTTGGGATCTGGTTGGGCCTATCAGCACAAATGTCTCGCATATCGCTCCATCGCACAAGTTTCTCGAACATACCTTCGGGATCGTATTGCAACACGTGCAGGTTGCAGTCACCGTCGGCGAAGAGAATGAACAATCGGTTGCCGTCGGGGAGGAAATCCGCCGCTATGACTTCACGATAATCCAAGTCCTTCGCGAAAAGACTCATTTTATACGGCTCTTCCTAAAAGTAGGCAAGCAATTACGATATTAGCGACCCTTTCGGTCCCATCGATGACATGAAGCGAGCGAGCACTTACCGAGTATCCTGCAAACCAAAGTCCTTTCACGGCATCGCCGATGATACACATTCCGGTGCCTTTGAGTTCTTTCACGACGCTGACGTAGCATTGCACATCCATGAAAGCTACGGGCAGGAGGCTGCCATCCTCCTTGAGACCCCGGACCATGCACTTCTGTCCTTGAGCGACGACCAAAAACCCCTGACCACCGATCTCCGATAGCGCAGTTACTGCGCCTTTGACCAACTCCTTGCCGATGAGTTTCAGTTTCCGGTCGTTCTCTGGTTTTTCTGGATCGGGAACCACTTTGATCACCTCAAAGACATAGATGCAGCCACGGGATGCGATGTCCTCGCCCCGCGCAAATGCGGTTCCAACCACAACCATATCCTTCCGCTCGTGCGTATTTTCGGATACCTCCAGACTCAAGTTTTTGATCGCGGTAACATGCTCGGCCGGGCCTAAAGTGTAGCTTTTGGAAATCCATGTTAGTGGTTGGTTGGAAACACTAAGTCATAATCCCACGTCTTACCTGTCGATGATGGACCACGTCTTAGGGCATAGGAGCCTTAGCGAGCTCTGATGCACTTCGGGAAGCAAAGATATTACTATAGCTTGATCAATACTGACGTCTCACAAAGCCGGGGACCTAGGTACAGACCTTCGTTGCGCCATTCAGGGTGCAGCTCGTCGTCTTCGGGCAGCTTGAAATTCGTCTTATGGCAGCTCCCTAAAACGTACGTCCCAGACGAGACAGAGTACGTTAAATGATCAACCTGCTCGCCGATGGATATTTTCCGTAAAGTCCAAGGGTGATCGAAGATTGTATCGCTGGGCAGCTGGCACAATTGCGCAATGTTCTGTGAATTATTCAATATGCATATTCATGGCTTTATAGGGAATGGAGTGCGTGTAGAAGATACCTTCGAGTCTAATGTGATAAAGCCTGTACTGGCGCCTCCATGATTATTGAAGCTACTTAAAGACCATGTTAAGTCCCCTCCTAGAGGTGTGAAATGCGGTCGACTTTTCGATGTTTTGAGTACCAGGCCGGCCGAGGATCCAGGCACGAATACAGCGCTGAACCCCGAGACGTTGGGGAGTATTCGTAGCGGCGTCATCTGGGGCGAATCGTCTGATTCAGCCGGGTCAACAGTAGAAGAAGGTTTCGGTGGCACATGGTTTGTTTCTTTCAGAAATCTTAAAGCAGAGGGCTTTTCCCCGGTGTCAATCGCAGTTGAGAAAGGTTTGTACACAGAAATCTCGTTATTCACGGTTCGAATCTGTATTCAGCGTCAATATTTCCCGAAAAGGGGCGGGAGGTCACGGGTCATACAAGTAAGTAAGGACTAGTGCACCGATCATCTCCAAGATCTGCAACAACAATTTCAGACAGGAGCTCCCGCGTAGTCGACCGCTTCGGTGGTTCAGTCGACAGAATTGGGCCTAAACAATCGACGCCTTCTATGATCGACACTAATGTCTGGTCGGAAAGTCGGTATACCTGAATTTCCTGTAAGCTTCATGCCCATACACATAGCTCCTTATCATATTTCCAAATGAAAGCTAGGGTTTGTTCTGGAAGGGATCCTGTCACTCACAAATAATCGACAATCCAAACTGAGCAGAAACAAGAAAATCCCATCTTGAGCTAGCCCGTCTGCGGTTGGGCGAGCCACCTCGAAAACACCATTTTTATCACAATACAGACAGCAGGACAGCCATTGCGAGCCCAATCGTGCCAGGTCTCCATCCAGCGATACTTCGTCAAGGTCTCCACTATCATCTGCCTGGAGAAGTAATAACGTAGAATCGTCTCGAAGAATCGCAAGATAGGTACCCACGAGACTAGCGCTCACAGCTATACGCTCTTCACTGGTGTCCTCATCCCACACAGGATAAATCTGAGCCAGTCCCAGTTCTATTCGGTTAGAACAAGCAGTGAATTTTACTGATGGGCAAATGCTTACCAACGTCATAGCTCCGGACTTCGTTTTGGAGGACTTGAACCACGCGGTTACTGCTCCTTAGAGTCTCGATCTTCACGGTAGAATCACCATTGGGGTTGAATTCAGGTGCTTTGAAAGGCCTAAGTTCCTGTCCCTCCACCTGGAAAATAATTGACTCCTCTTTCTCAGCCACGGTCCGTTTCGGAAAGATAGCATAGTGTCGCCAGTTCCGCTCTTGCGCTTGTCCGCTTGTATCCGATTCAGTCTCTTTGTTGATGACAGAGGCAGTCCAGACACCAACGGCGGAATCAATCGTTTGGGATACGAAAGCCAGAGGTTCGATCTCACGCTTCATCACTACCACTCCACCGCTCCTGTCTGACCCCTGCGACGATACGAGCTGCAGTGGGGAGGGAGGGCCCCCTGCACCTTGTTCATTTTCCTCCTTACTATATAAATGAGATTGACCCAAGGTAATATCACGGAGGGGGCCAATATTCAAAAGCTTGTCGTGGATTTGGAAATTGCAGTGACCAAACATAGACGCTTCAGTAGAAGAGAGACGCCCGTCCGTCGTCGCATCCTGTGCGGTCGAATAAAGATCATCTTCCAGTGCATCATCGTCAAGTTGGTCTTCCTCTGACAAGTCCCCGGAATTCTCATCGAGATACCTAGCTTCGGATCGCGTCCTCTTCACACCTGAAGACGAATAGTTCCAGCTAAGTAGCACCGAATCCGTATCCTCACTGCCCAAAAAGATTCTCCTGTTGCCAAGAAAAGATGCCGACGAAGCAGCAGATTTCATGATGTCGCCACCGGCATGTGCAGGTACGAGGTGAACCGAGATGCCAGACACCGACCTTCCATCAAGCTTGAATTTGACAAGTGCCATCGTTCCGACAGAAAGAGCCAGTACCAGGTCACCATTGCTTTCGTCAAGGCGTTCGACGACGCAGCCTTCAAGCCTAATCGCCAAATCTGATTGATCGGTCATGGCAAAAGCTGAACTCTGCTTTGAAAATTCGTTCACCCCAACTGCATTGGTTTTTCCTGCCTGGTCGACATGGACGAGTTCGTTGGAGCCGATGAGCAGAGCCCCTCCAACGGGGGGTGGAAGGGCCACCACTTTGAACAAGTCGCTGGGCAGTTTGGATACCGAGAGAAGTGTAGTGGAAGCACGTTGTTCCAGGTCTAGCGTAAACACAGTGTAAAAGACAACATCTTTTCTCTCAGAAAGAAGTGCATTTGATGTTGAAACCTGTGAATACAAAATACCAAAGGTTGGTTCCCTATACTCATATAGAAATGCAAGGCTTATCGGGTGCAGTATCGACGGATCTAACGCAGTTAAAGGGAGGACGAAGGAAGACGCGTACGGGGTCTGGTGAGCCGCCTCGTTTTGGGCTGTGCCGTGGGAAACTTCCACCCCGGAGCCAGTGCCATCTTGTTTCTCCTCAAAATCAGAATTGTAATCGTCCATCACCAGATCGTCTCCTGCTTGGTGAAAGGGAAGAATGGCGACATTCCTAACGCCAAAGTTGAAGATTGCGCATCTGCTGCTCGGATCCACACTAAGGATGCTGCCACAACTGCTTAAATCTGGTATCCAAGGACTACGGGTCAAATCATCTCGCTCATAATAGTGAATGGAAATAGTCGAAATGCCATGGCGCTCTGGGTCCCATTCGATCAAGCTAAGTTTGGCGTTTCGGAACGCAACTAAGATAGCTTCCCCCCCACTCTTTGTATTTAGAACCTTGACCCGGCAAAGATCGGTTATTATCCCAGGAAGAGCGAATTCTCCTTCCAGCACCAGCTTGGATGCTGTCTGGTCTTGAGCGGTTTCCGACCGTGGTGTGGCTTTGACGCAGGAAAATATTTGGAGCTGGCAGGTCCTCGCAATGACCAGGTTATTGGCTGTCGCACGAATGAAGGGGACTGCCAATGAATGCGTGACCCCGGTGGGAGGCAGAATTTCGGTATAGCACTGCATTTGTAGATCGCAAGCCGTTGAGAATGAGGATGTTTGGTGCCCGTCGTAGACCCTTCCCCATCAACCTAAATATTTGACTGCTCTGGCGCCGGGGGAGAGCTACCTGCGAGAAAGGCGGAGGAGAACAACGGAAGTTGAAGGGTGGGGATCAATTGAAAGTCAGCCATCCGACTCGAATAAGTAGGTCTCGGGGGTTTTGACAAACCCGTCCGTTCCTTTCACTGTTTCCTTTATCACCGTCCGCCCGGCGCCAGAGCTCCCACGTGACCCTATTCCGCGGCGTCGGCCCGATGACGTAAGGCACAAGTTCAGTCTGCGCTCTGCACCTCATGAGCATCCCTCGAACTCCTCGACACGCATGATCGCAACATACTGTGGATGGGCTTCGGAAATTCTCGCATATCCGTTGAGTGGCTTGGGTCCCATATGAATCGTCGGTCTTTACAAGATGGTGCTTCTGCAAACATCCCTGATCTGGGTTGTGTATGCAATTGTGATCGCCATTCTGATCATAGCAGCCTCTTTTCTCATATATACCTACCAGACTCCTCGAGATCGGTCTAATCTAGTGACTCTGACATGTATTGCTGCCATCTCCACCCTTCTCGCCACTGTTCTCTTGCTTCCAGTTGATATCGCCCTCGTCTCCTCCACAACCTCCTCAGCACTTGGTCGGAGGAAGGAATGGGCTACCCAGAGTGAAGTAGATAGGATTCTCTTCTCCTTGAAAGTCTTATACTACCTCCTATATTCTATTGATGCCCTTCTATGTCTCATTGTGATTCCTTTCACGTATTTTTGGTATGAAGAGTACGATGAAGTGGCTACCGAAGCGGGCGAGCAAACAACTGCACAACAGTTTTGGGCAGCTTCCAAGTACACCATGTGTTTTATTGCAATATCAGCAGTCCTATTTCTCGTCGGGTTCTTTGTGCCCGTTTCAAAAGAAAAGGCGGGTGGATTGGACTTTTTCCAACATTTGCTATCTGAGAATCGTAAGCTTGGTCTTTTTTTCTTTCGAACCCGGCCCCAAACCCCCCTCCCCTCTATTTTCCTAAACGTTCTTGTACAAGGATGCTAAGGTATTCTGCAGGTGGTGAACGTACTCTCACTTTTGCACTTGGCCTGTTGATGACCCTCGGAATGAGCTTGTACATCTTCTACACCTCCTTTGGACTCGCTTTTCTTCCAGTTAGTCTGATCAAAACAACGCCCTCATTTTCAACCTCAAATTCTGGGGCAGACGCAGCCGTGCAGCTTGTATCCAATCGAGAACGACAGCGCCAACTGGAAGGCCGTTGCGGAGGAAACCCGGAACTCTTGTCTTCAAAGGATAGACGAGAGCTGGATTCTCTTGCTCGAGAAGAAAGAACCCTGATTAGACGACAGCGACTAGCTGATGAATCTTCAGCAAATAATCAGGGCTGGCTTGCGAACTCATGTCTGAAAATAAAGGCATGCCTTCGCCCCTTTCAGCTTCTAGGTAGCATCGCATTACTATTAACCTCCTTGATAATATGGGCCTCCATGCTTCTGACGGCAATTGATAAGGCTAAAAATTCATTCTGCAAATACCATTGCGGTTATATTCTCGCCAACACCAAGATCTTCAACCCTATCAACTGGATATTGGTCCGAGCTGCCAATGTGTTTCCAGTTGACTATGCTCTCTTTACCACCCTTGTTTTGTTTTTGTTCATCAGCTCAGTTGTTGGTATATCTGCTGTTGGAATTCGGTTCCTTTGGATCAGGATTTTCCAAATCCGCAAGGGCCATACTTCCCCACAGGCCCTTCTTTTGACAACGGCCATGCTGATGTTGATCATTTTGGCGCTAAATTACTCTGTACCCATGACTATTGCGCCTCAATACGCCACTTTTGGGCCGCAAACATTCTGTGATCGAAGTCAAGATGCGTCCGAGAAGCAGCCGGATTGTACAAATGCCGAACACCTTATCAGACCTTGTTCTGAGTTGTCACAAAACAAAGCTGCAAAGCAAGTCTGCACACCAAGTGTTGCCAGCACAATACTCAATCGTGTGACAATGAACTTTCCCTTCTTTGGTGCAATCTTGTTCTGGGCCCAGTATTTTTTTCTCGGTAATACACCCTGTTAATTCAAGGACTCTCGCTTCAGACCATACTGACGTTACCTCATTACCTAGGTATTTACCTGATAGTTCTAACCACCTGTCTCTTACGGTCACGAAAATTGGACGAGCAACAGCTGGACGAAGATGCCGAAGAAGCCGAGGAAGAAAGCTTACTGGCAAGCACTGGTCGACAATTTGGTACAACTGGATGATATATTATCACTCCCTACTTGCCCATTCCATTGGAACAAGCTAGTGGTTCAGCTTAATGCACAACTGAATAGCGTTGGGTAATGTTACGTCTTCTCAAACCCTCCTTTATCCATGTCACGAACATGACTGAGCATCAGGATGCTGTTCAGAATGCAAGTAGGAAAGGAAATGAACTTCGTGGAATCTGTCGCTTTTTTGAAATAAATTGGGGCCGGGGAGTTGGTTGTACTTTAGTTACTCGCAATCAGGGTTTAAGCCTTAATTCGATCATTTAACAATGCAAGGGCGCTTTCAAATGCCTTCACAACATCAACATCTGCCAGGAAAGTGTTAATCATACCTTCGCTTTTCGAAAGCAGAAGTTCTTAACTTATCACCTACAATGTTGTCTTCTCTTCTCTAGACTCTCTTCTGAATTCTGCACGTGCTGCATTTGTGTCTTGAATCTGTAAAGATTGAGTCCACAAATGCCAAATGAGTACTTCACCGATGGGTCCGAACCTCTTTAGTGCTCTTGCCTCGTCCCGGACAACAGTTACCTGAGACCAAGCCATGAAAACCTAGGCGAGATCAGTAGTGAACAACCCAGCAACAAAGAGAGTATTTAGATTACCTCGAGCAGCTTCGAAATTCGGGCTCGCAGCTCATCCTCAGTTTGTCCATGCTCCTCCATGGCGTGAGCAAAATTCTTATGAAGTTGCTCCCAGTCGAGGCTCTCAAGTTCCTTGGTCGACATGCTTATGTGTTGTGACTTTGACTGGGATATTATAGGGGGTATCGATCAGAGTAGGATGGACCTGATCGTCTTTTTTTTTTTGCGTACAACCACTGATTATGGTTCACTTCCAACGACAATTCATCAGATGGGAAGAAACAATGTTCAAAAGAGAAATAACAGGGAAAGATGGCCAGAAGTAGGAGATCTACTCTGTTAGAAGAATGCTCAGGTTGCCTTGCTCTGCTGTCGGTACGGACAGGTGAACTGTACAGATGGAATGCTTCTTACGGCGGTGGAGTGATCCGTCCCCATGTAAGGTATTGTAAGGTACTCGTGTTGAAATAAACGAGTATCTACATAATTACAGCACAATACCTACCCGATTGGGATACATCCGGGTATTTGATAGGTACTGACACGAGGGTTCTGCTCGCCAGGTCGCTAGGTCAGTTTCGCCAGTTATTTTAAAAAAAAAGGAATCAATAGTATGAAAATTAATAATATGAGTGAACTAGTCACGCCCGGGATCGAACCGGGAACCTTCTCGGAGCTTTGATACTGTGAGCGAGACGCCATAACCATTAGGCCACGCGACTGGATGATTAATAAGCCATGAATTGTTCTGCACTATAGAGAAGAGATTTTTTTCATATGAAAAATGACTTCAAAACTGTTTACGAGGGATTTTGCAACCCCAGAACTGATCTAAATCGGGTCAAAAGGCAGATGTAGAGTTGAACTATAGGCATATATGGAAGGTTCTCTAAACTTTATATAGTATGTGTAAGGGACCTACCTACCCACTCCAGAATACCTAATATGACACAGGTAGACCGGTCCGCCACTGATAATTGCTACTGCTATAAAATATTGTTCTACTATGTATCTCTGCTTCTTTTTGTGTGGTATTAAAAAAGAGTCGACTATTTTTAGTATGTCTCATAATATTTGGCATTCAAATTTCTCGACGGGAATTGCCTATAAAAAGTACTTATTGGACCGCTACAGTAGGTGGTCTACAGTCGCAGTCGCGGGTAGGACTCCACCGGCTACGCAAACTGAGCAAGCTATCCAATCAAGAAGCAAACGATCACGGAGTGTCTATCTAGAGGAGAAGACTTCAGAGGAAATTAGTATAGACAGTGAATCATGTAATGATGATAATACTGAGCATGATGAGCTGCCACGTCTTCCAGGGAGAGCACGAAAGAGACCTAGACAACCAGATGGGTTTGAGATTGAGAACTAGTTTTAAAAATAAATATAAATACATTCACAAATACAAATTATTCGTAAACAGTTTCTTGCATAAGATCATTTAAAGCATCCAGCCGAGTACATCTTGTATAGGAAATACCCAAAATTTCAGCTGAAATATTCATGACTTATGCAACAGAGTATCTTTGTATGTTTGTCTTGTTTGTGCGCCTTACCCTCCTTGGCACCCTCCACCCTCTGAGGTTCACCCGTGGGTCGGTTTTTGACCCTCCACCCGCGGGTGAGGGCGAGGCCTAGGTAGGAGTGCTTAGATAATAGATTTTTTACGAATGTATTTTCGTACGCCCTTGCCAAACATCAGAACGACGGTATTAGAGTGATACTTAACGTAGGTATTCGATGTCAAAAAAGGCCTGGAATATTTTATTCTAAGTCGTGTGGCCTAATGGTTATGGCGTCTCGCTCACAGCAGTTGAAATCCGAGAAGGTTCCCGGTTCGATCCCGGGCATGACTATTTTGTTTAACCTTTTTACTATTTACTCTATGTCACCGGCTGATGTTAGTTGTTGAATTTTATTTTAGAGCAATTTTGGGCTCATAATCTTCAATGATATAATAATTGACTGTCACCGTCCGTAGAGGCGCACTGGAAGGTTCTTACTTGGCACTAGTTACGGAATACGCCACATAAGAACCACAATTCTGATCGGTGAAATAGTTGGTCCGTCATCCGGCTTGATTCACTTGAACTGGAACCGCGTCACGTCACTCCGCTTACCTTCAGATTGTCAGGTGATGATGATAGGCTAGGCATGGTGTTGCCTGCCTCCGTATTAGCAAAGATCCCTTGCATTGCAGATTTCTCTCAAACTCCCATATCTTGTCCTGGATATTTCCCCCATACCTGATGCATTCCAAGCCATGAAGGATCCCAAATCCCATTATCATAGCTTTGATGTGTTTCCTACCAAGACCATCGTACATCCGTTGAAGGGCCTGGAACTGAGCTAGATCAGTAACACAACGACAAAGACTGCTGCTGAAATGAGTTGCCACGTCTGCAAGCGTACTCTGGCACAACACCGACAACTCTTTTGCCCCACCTGCGCCCGCAATCGCCTCTATCATCTGCACCATGAAAATGTTCGGATCCTTCTTGAAAGGGAGTCAATATCGCGCCAAATCGAGAATGCAGTCGCACTTGACGGCGCTCGAAGCCTATCCTCTGCTCAACCCGACAAGCAAGAAACCAAGTTTGAAGATAGGCAGTACAGATCATGGACCATTCAGACTATCATTGACGAAAAGTCCAAGTCATCTGCCAGGATTAAGGGCCTTACAAATCGGATCGAAAGACTGAGGTTAGAAATCAAGGACAGACGACTTGACATTTCCCATCGCAGACTGGAGTTAGCCCAACAAAAGTCGGATGCCGAGTCTGCTAACTATCAACTTGCGGAACGGGAGGCTACGATGTTGGCTGGGATTCAAAATAGCACCAAAAGAACGGACCATCTATGGCACTCGCAACATAGCAAGACCGCAGAAGCCCGAATTTTTTTGTGCCGGGAAGCCGCCAACCTGTACGGTTTACGCCAAAAAGTCAAGAAGAGAGATGGTGAACTTAAAGAGACTTATTATATCGGCGGGGTACCGATTATAAACCTAAAGGATATGAATGGAAAGTTATCTCGACCTTGCAACTGAATCTGCAAATAATAATATCTAAGCAGGCGCAACACCAGCTCAAATTTCGACCTCATTCGGCTACATTGCCCACCTCCTTGTATTAATTTCCAATTATTTGTCCCTCAGGCTCCCTGCTGAAATATCTCTTCCCCATAGAAATCAACCCACCACTACTATACTGTCACCTTCTGGGTCGTATATTTCACACGAAGCAGGGTTTGCGACGTCTGCCCCGCACATGACAACTAGCTCTGTGCCACGATCAGAAGATTTTGGGTCTCGTGTCCCTCGTCCTCGTCCTCTCCGCACGGACAAAACACTACCAAAGCTGGCCAGCGAAGACCCGGGAGCATATGCACTCATCCTCGAGGGAGCGACATTACTGGCTTGGAATGTATCGTGGCTATGCCGAACACAGGGGCTTAATATAGCATCGGACTCTTGGGAGGAAATATGTGATTTGGGAAGGAACATGTGGCAGCTACTTTTCGCCTCGCCTGCACAACCCTTGACTTTGGTGACGGCAGTCCCTGGTCGCGAAATGCAACCCAAAACGAAATTTTCCAAAGACACACCGAAAACAACAATTCAGAGAACTAAGTCGTTCCCTATGCTTGGACATTATTCACACGGTACTGTGCACTCCTTTTTATGTGCCTCAGATGGCGCCGAATTTATGCGAACTTGGAGATTGCCATCTCCAACTAAAATCGCCGACAAGCTGAAGTCGGTGCTCTTGGGAGAAATGGCAAGCGCAGAATGGGAACTACTGGAAAGGAGAGAATGGGATGATGCGTCCCAGGAAATCATGTATCCACCCTCGATCAATGAAGGCGATCCGCCCCATGACCAGGACGGCTATTCAAACACCGCGCATCCCGAAAGCAGCGCTGTTAATGCGGTTACCTCTGGCGAACCCCACAAATCTAACGGGTTGAGGGGGACAAGCGGTTGGACCAAATTAAGAAATAGACCATGAATATAAGTAGATTTAATGATATATATAGAAAGAACACAACGAAAGCAAGTCTTTCCCCTCCCAATTATGCAGGCGGTAACGACATACGGAGTAGCTACCCAAATTATCGATTATCGTCCAATTCATTAACCATTGAAATCAAGAGGTGTTTGTTTGGCTGAACAAACTAACTAATCACTTTTCCCTTCTATCCCATAGTTAGTTATAGTTAGTTAACTAGTTGATTGATAACGTAATCAACCACCGAGCCGCCACCTCATCGCATTTTGTCCTAGTCAAAATACTCACTCAAGTCAACCATCCACCTTGCCTCCAAAAGCGCGTCAAAATTCAAGAAATTCAACTGAGCAGGAGGGAAGGATTCTATTAGCAATCTCTGCTATAGAAAAGAAACAAACTACACAGGTTGCTAAAGCTGCGCGCGTATACAATGTACCTCGTTCAACTTTACGCGACAGACTACGCGGCAGCAATTATCGCAAAGAGTTACGCGCAAATAGCCATAAAATGACTTAAAATGAAGAAGAATCGCTTGTACAATGGATCTTATCATTGTATCGACGTGGAGCAGTTCTTTGACCGTCTCATATACGAGAAATGGCCAATATTCTACTTGCTCAGCGCGATGCTATATTTATTCAATCAGTTGGAGAGAACCGGGTTTATAAGTTTATCAAACGACGTGATGAACTTAAAACACGCTTTTTTCGACGATATAATCATCAGCGTGCTAAATGCGAAGACCTTAAGATTATTAGGGAGTGGTTTGATCGCATACAAATCACTATAATGCAGCATGGTATCGCACTGGAAGATATCTACAACTTCGATGAAACCTGCTTCGCTATAGGGCCAGTAGCTACTGCTAAAGTAGTTACTAGAGCTGAGATGTCTGGGAAGCCCTTTCATGTACAGCCAGGCAATCGGGAATGGGTTATCTCTATTGAATGTATCAACTCTACTGGATGGGCGCTTCCTCCATGTATTACTTCCAAAGGAAAGGTCCATATAGAGGGCTGGTATCAAGATAAGGCCTTACCACGCGACTGGAGAATTGAAGTCAGTAGTAATGGATGAACTACTGATGAGATTGGGCTTCGCTGGCTTCAAAATCTCTTTATTCCTGCTACTACTGGCCGTACGACTGGGAGATATCGCTTGCTTATTCTTGATGGCCATGGTAGCCATCTTACGCCTCAATTCGACCAGATATGCAGTGAGAATGATTTCCTATCTGCATGCCTGCCCATTCATCACATCTCTTACAGCCTTTGGATGTTGGCTGCTTTTCGCCCCTAAAGCGCGCGTACGGACGTTTAGTGGAAAACAAAATGCGCTTAGGATTCAACCATATTGATAAGCTTGACTTTCTCGAAGCTTATCCTCAAGCGCGTGCAGAGATAGATCTATACTACTAGTAATATTAGTAGTGGATTCTCTGCAACTGGTCTAATTCCTTTCAATCCGGAGAGGGTGCTCAGTCAGTTAAATATTCAACTTAAGATCCCTACACCACCCGGCAGTCGATCAACTAATTCAGCACCTAGAACACCCTATACTACTAGGCAGCTAGAGAGGCAGGCATCCACAGTGAAAAAGCTGCTTAAGGCGCGTGCGCAGAGCCCCTTCATCTTCGCTAGAAACGCGATTAGACAAGCTTATTAAAGGTCATGAATTGCATCTTAATGAGCTTATTCTAGCACGGAACGAAATAGGCGATCTACGCGCTTCTAATGAGAAGCAGCGTCGAAAGCGGAAGCGCTCTACTAGACAGCTAGCTACTACAGAGGGTATGACTATTCAGGAAGGCTCAGAGCGATTCCAGCGTGAGAATGAGGTTCATGAAGCTCTGGATACTATCTCTATAGATCCAGCGCTTTCTGCAGTTGGGCCACGCGTACGAGCTCCACCACGATGTTCTGATTGCAATACTTTGGGATATAAAAGGACTAGTTGTTCTAATAGCAATAGTAATTAGTTTTCATGAAATACAATTGTTTTGTTGATAAAGGCCATAATCTATCTCCAGGTGTGGAAAATCAAGCAAAAGTGGCGGCTCGGTAGTTAGTGGCGGCTCGGTGGTGGATTACGTTAGTTGATTGGAGCGACCTACTCGTGTTACTAAGCGAAAGGTAAGCTGATTGATTGATAAGATCGTTATCGTAAATTGTTGCGTGTTCGAACTTCGAACTCCATCGTGCTATTGCTCCGCAACATACATGCTTTCAACTACTAACTTTGAAACTCCGTCTACCGCACAGGCACTTAGCCAGACAGGTTAACAAACCCCGCACTCTCCATCCCTGGATTCCATCTTCGATCAATTATTGGGGTTGGCTTCATCTATCCTACAACGGCTCTGCCAACCAGAGCCGATCGGACCTTCGAAACTTGTTGCGAGACACCTCGCCCACCTGTTGACTTCTGGGTCATGTACATACAATAAAGTCCAGACAAGGAATGTTACACTTGGACACTTGGAATCAGAATGGCCGAATACATGAAATTGTACCAGCGTAGGATGGCAGAATCTAGTGAGTACTGAGAGCAACTCGACTTGCTCTTATTGAGGAGTCCCACCTCCCTTGACCCCGGTATTACATGAACAAAACATAGATCGCCCTTTGCTGACATGGATATGCAACTATTGTAGGCCTTCAATGGACCGCTACTTCCATATCTGATCTATCCGGCGCTGCTTTACAGGCAGAACTTGCGCGGCGGAGCAAGGCACGAGGCTTGCGCGATGAAAAGCCCGTATGCGGTTCATCGGAACCGGGTGTTTATAATACACCAATCCATGTTATGGCGCTTTTTCTCATCCTGGCATTGAGCACGTTAGGTACCACACATTAGTCCATCCTTTGTGTCAATGACTGTTTTTAACCTATTGTTGTCACTCAAGCGTGTTCATTTCCTGTGCTGGCCCGCCGATTTCCGCGCCTACCTATACCACGTCGTTTTCTGTTCCTGTCTCGTCATTTTGGAACGGGGGTTTTGATTGCCACGGCTTTCGTCCACTTGCTTCCGACGGCATTTGTTTCTTTGACGGACCCATGTCTTCCACATTTCTGGAGTGAAGGCTATCGTGCCATGGCTGGATTCATTGCCATGGTGTCGGTCTTTGTGGTAGTGGTGGTTGAGATGTTCTTCGCCATGAAAGGGGCAGGACATGTGCATGGAAGTGAGTATGATCAGCTGATTAGCGACGTTGGCCTAGAGGTTCCACATGACGATCATAACCTGGATTCCCACTACTCGATGCTTGAAGGACAGGATTCAGTGGCCAACCACATTCCGCTGGGCAGAATTCAGGAAGCCGAACCAATGCCTAGCACGGCACAGCAGTCCAGCTCTGCGTCAAGGCATCCTTCAGGTGAGAATGGGCAAGTGCATTCGAAGAACACGACAGAGCCAAAGGAAGAAGACGACTTGGACTTTGACGGTTCCAACTCTCGTGATGTCTCTTATACCAGTGGGCAGCAGGACTGCCATTCTCAAGGTCGTCATTCGCATGAACCTGAATTCCGCCCACCGGCGGACACAACCCTACATTTGCAGAACCCGCAGCGCCAGTTGCTCCAGTGTCTCCTTCTCGAGGCAGGGATTCTTTTCCATAGTGTGTTTATTGGTATGGCGGTCAGCGTTGCAACGGGAACATCGTTCCTTGTTCTCCTCGTGGCCATTTGTTTCCACCAAACCTTTGAAGGGTTTGCCCTTGGGTCACGCATCGCATCTCTTATTCCTGACCTTTTCTCCCCATCTTCTATGAAACCATGGCTTATGTGTCTTGCGTACGGGATGACCACACCTATTGGGCAAGCTATTGGCTTAATGTTACACAATCTATACGACCCTGCCAGCACGACGGGTCTGCTTATGGTGGGCATCACCAATGCTATTAGCAGCGGGCTTCTCCTTTTTGCCGGGCTTGTAGAGCTTCTGGCAGAGGATTTTCTCAGCGATGCAAGCTATGCAACGCTGAGGGGTCGGCGACGTGTCGAGGCCTGTATCGCAGTTGCTAGTGGAGCTGTACTGATGGCTCTAGTCGGTGCGTTTGCTTAATTGATTAGACGGCCTCACTTGTGCCAAATTCATCATCAGCAGTCGGAAATGGGGACATTTGAATATATATATATGTATAGTCCAAACTAGACTACGGCCGCTTTCATGATTCTACTGCCATCGTTAATCTGTGGGCTATTCACTCGAACCCCACTTCGTAAGCTCGCGGGGACTACTCCTGCAGAGGTCAATGTAGTATGTTATAATATTTACCTTGACCGGTGCTCAGAGCCTAGCAGCTGCTGCAAAACTATCAGACTCCTGACAAATTGAATCCATCATGTCTAACCAACAGAACTGCCGGTGAATGGCCTCGGGAAAGGGGGCCCTTCGGCTTAGCTGGAGAAGACACTATTTTCTGCAGTATTTAGATTAGGCCCACCGGGCCCGGAATGACGTTTGAGCACGAGAGGCTTCCCATCTATGCAGTGACTCTTGTTAAGAGCATTTTCTGTGTGTGGTATGAAAGGAAGAAAGAAGAAAAAAAAGTCATCTCAAAGTTCCTAAAGAAGTACCCACTTTTACATGTTGCCAGTGAGCGCCTTGGACACATGCTGCAGAGTTTGACCTGCTATTATAGAGCCCTTAAAATAGGTTATATCCTCTTAATTATGCCAGCGACTCAACAACCATGGCGCTAGCACCTCCTCCACCATTGCAAATTCCGACGCAGCCAACCTTGCCGTTCTTTGCCTTGAGAACACCAAGCAGCGTAGTCAAGATGCGAGCACCACTAGCTCCGATAGGGTGGCCGATAGCAACGGCTCCACCGTGAACGTTCACCTTTTCTTCCGGAATGTTGAGTAGCTTCATGTTGGCAAGAGCAACGACACTAAATGCCTCATTGATCTCGAATGCATCCACGGCATCTTGGCTGATACCAGCGTGCTTAAGAGCCTTGGGGATAGCAAGTGCTGGGGCAGTCGTGAATTTGCTGGGCTGGTGAGCAGCTTCTCCCCATCCAAGAATCTTTGCGACGGGCTTCAGATTGAGCTCCTTCAGCTTAGCTTCCGAGACCAACACCACAGCCGCAGCACCATCGTTGAGTGGAGACGAGTTGGGCGCCGTGACCGTTCCAGAACCAGGAATGAACGCGGGTTTGATGCCCCGGAGCTTGTCAGGGTTAAGCTAAGACAGGGATATATACATGTTAGTATTAATTAGTGGATCGAAGAGAGTGTAAAGGGGAGATCATCGCACGTTTTTGGGCTCCTCGTCTTGCGCGACGGTCACACCGGGCTTGCCCCTGAAACCAGGAAGGTCGACTGGCGCAATTTCATCATTGAAAAGTCCGGCCTTCTGGGCAGCTTGGGCTTTCTCATAGGTTCGAATGGCATAGTTATCCTGGTCTTCCCTGGTGAAACTATGGTCCTGGGCACATTCCTCGGCTTGTAGGCCCATGAGTTCCTGTTTGCCTGCATCCGTCAAGCCATCTTTCATAATTCCGTCCACCAAGCTTTGGTGACCATATTTCGCACCCGAACGAAGGTTTGGGAGGTAGTGAGGAGCATTAGACATGGATTCAGCACCACCGGCCACGACAACATCAGCATTTCCAGTCATGATGGTCTGTGCTCCAAGGATGACAGCCTTCAGGCCAGATGCGCACACCTTGTTGACGGTGGTACACACAGTGGAGTCCTCCAGGCCGGCACCGAGAGCACATTGTCTGGCAGGATTCTGGCCAACACTAAAATTGAAACAAAAGGTAAGGACAGGCTATTTGGACTAGCTATAAAAAAAAAGCCAAGACTTACTTTGCGGAAAGAACATTGCCAAAGAAGACTTCCTGAACATCTGAGGTGCTGACTCCTTCAGCTCTGCTGAGAGCGGCTAATTCAGAGCGGAGTTAGCATATCGAAAAGGGCAGGGTGCTAAGCCAGCTTGCCATACACTTGATCGCATGGGAACCAAGCTGCGGGGCAGTCAAACTCGAGAGAGAGCTGCGAAAAGACATTAGCATATGTTTTTTAGTTTATCGGAGAGGGATTCGGGGGCACTGACCCCAGGAAGGATCCCACAGGGGTCCGAGCAGTCGAAACGATGTAGACAGGAGGAAGAGAAGACATGGTGGGATGTGAGCTAGTCGGAAGGCTTGAACAAAGCTAGAGAAGAGGTGGGATGAGATGAGATGGGAAGGCCCCTCCCTACTTTTTAAGCGGCATAATTAACTAGCAGTTGACTAGGAGCGGCGGGGCCGTGACAAACAACGCATGCCAAGCTCGGACCACTCGGGGCGCCGCCGACTTCAGCTCCGGCAGGAAAAAAGCGACGCGCCGCTTTCACTACGGGCGACAATTTCTGGCTGGTTAACCATCTTCCCCACACCACCATGGATGATCTTTACGACGAGTATGCTTCTGCCGAATTGGATTCCTGACCCGTTAAATACCATTGGCTGATAGATATCCTCCCACAGGTTTGGCAATTACATTGGCGAGGCCGCTGACTCGGATGAGGAGGTCGACCATGAGGAAGCTCGACCTTCAACTTTCGCCTTCGACGAGGCATTTGGGGAGGACGAAGACGATATCGACAATCAAGAGCAATTGATGGAGGTTGATGGTGAGCTCCCATCTCCAGGCTTTTCGACCTCCGGGTAATCTTAGCTGACTACGAGTAGAGGGCCCTTCAAATGCCGTGATTCTACATGAAGACAAGCAGTACTACCCTAGCGCCCAGCAGGTATACGATCAAGGTGTCGAAACCTTAGTTCAAGAAGAGGATACGCAACCTCTTTCGGAGCCCATCATTGCTCCCGTTCAACAACGGAAATTTGCGGTCGAAGAGGCCGAGCTACCGCCTGTCCATTTCTCTCGGGAGTTCATGACAGATCTACTCAACTTCCCCGACCAAGTCAGGAATATTGCTCTAGTGGGACATTTACACCATGGGAAAACGGCTCTCATGGATATGTTTGTCATGCAAACACACGACCTATCTGAGCGCCTACAGGCGCGAACAGGCACGCAAAGCGAGGAACAACTCCGGTATACCGATGTTCACTTTTTGGAACGGTCTCGGGGGCTTTCAATCAAGTCATCTCCCATGAGCCTTGTTCTCCAAAGCACAAAGGGGAAATCTCATTTATTTAACATGATTGATACCCCTGGGCATGTGAATTTTGTGGATGAAGTGGCTGCTTCCTCGAGACTGGTCGACGGTATAGTTCTAGTTGTTGACATCGTGGAAGGTGTGCAGGCAAACACCGAGCAAATGATCAAACACGCGGTGCTGGAAGATCTTCCCTTGACGCTGGTGGTGAACAAGATGGACAGATTGATTCTAGAACTGAAGATACCGCCCAATGACGCTTATTTCAAATTGAAGCATGTTATTGAGGAGGTCAACACGGTCATTGAAAACATTCTGCCAGGGCAAGGTGAAAGCAGACGGTTGAGTCCCGAGAAAGGAAACGTTGCTTTTGCCTGTGCTTCAATGGGATGGTGCTTCACACTGCAATCCTTTGCGAAAATGTACGCAGAGACTTATCCCCAGATTGAGACTGCCGATCTTGCCCTTCGTCTTTGGGGTGACGTTTTCTTTAACCCCCGGAGTCGGAAATTTACGCGCAAGGGTGTAGAGGAGAGCTCCAAACGAACATTTGTACATTTTGTTTTGGAGCCAATCTACAAACTCTACTCTCATACTATCAGTGAAAGCGCGGAGGATCTGAGAGAGACACTTGCAGGTGTGGGTATCAACTTGAAACCATCCCAATTGAAGTCAGATGCGAAGGTGCTGCTGAATCTTGTTTGTGGACAATTTTTCGGTCCTGCGACCGGATTTGTGGACATGATCATTCAGCATGTGCCTTCTCCATTAGAAGGTGCTCGGAACAAGTTAGAGAAACACTACACTGGGCCACTCAACACTAAAATAGCCGCCGCGATGACCGCCTGCGATGCGGACGGACCACTGGTCATTCATGTCACCAAACTGTTTAACAGCTCCGATGCTTCAAGCTTCAATGCTTTCGGGAGGATCATGAGTGGAACCGCTCGACCTGGCCAGCAGGTTCGGGTCTTGGGCGAGGGCTATACCCCGGAAGATGAGGAAGATATGGTTACTGCGACCATATCTGACACGTGGATTGCTGAGACCCGCTACAACATTCCTACCAGTGGAGTGCCAGCAGGAAATCTTGTCCTCCTGGGCGGCGTGGACAATTCTATTGTCAAAACAGCCACGCTGGTGCCCTTAGCACTTGCCGATGAGGAGGACGCATACATTTTCAAACCCATTCGGAACCTGACCGAGTCTATCTTCAAAGTTGCTGTTGAGCCGGTTAACCCGTCTGAATTACCGAAGATGCTCGATGGTCTCCGTAAAATCAACAAAAGCTACCCTCTAATCACAACCAAGGTAGAGGAGTCTGGGGAACACGTTGTCTTGGGCACTGGTGAACTTTATATGGATTGCGTCCTTCATGATCTTCGAAAATTATATTCGGAGATGGAAATCAAGGTTTCGGATCCTGTCACACGCTTTTGCGAGACTGTTGCGGAAACGTCAGCCATTATGTGCTATTCAATCACCCCGAATAAGAAAAATAAGATCACAATGATCGCAGAACCGCTGGACGACGGAATCGCCGAGGACATTGAGAGCGGCAAAGTTCGTATCAAGGATCCAATTCGGAAAGTGGCGAAGTTCTTCGAAGAGAACTATGACTGGGATAAATTGGCAGCCAGAAGCATCTGGGCCTTTGGACCTGACGAAATGGGCCCTAATATATTACAAGATGACACATTACCATCCCAAGTGGATAAGAAGCTAATCGGGAGTGTCAGAGACTCCATTACGCAGGGTTTCAACTGGGGAACGAGAGAAGGTCCTCTATGTGAAGAGCGTAAGTTTCCATCCTTCATTGTCTGAGACCTTGTAGGTTCAAGGCTTTGAACTCATTGTCGATAAATTCTAACGTTAAACATAACAGCAATCCGGAACACCAAATTCAGACTCACGGATGTTTCACTAGCCGACCAAGCTATCTACAGAGGCGGGGGCCAAATCATTCCCACGGCTCGTCGCGCCGTTTACTCCTCGTTCCTCATGGCATCGCCACGCTTGATGGAGCCGATCTACTCTTGTGCGATGACAGGGCCTGCAGATGCCGTGGCATCAATGTATACAGTCCTTTCGCGTAGAAGAGGACACGTCCTTTCCGACGGGCCTATTGCGGGCACGCCACTCTATTCAGTCCGCGGCCTGATTCCCGTTATAGACTCCTTTGGTTTCGAGACAGATCTTCGAATCCATACGCAGGGTCAAGCTTCCATAAGTCTCGTGTTCGATAAGTGGAGCGTGGTGCCAGGGGATCCATTAGATCGAGAGGTCAAGACCAAGCCCTTGGAGATGGCACCTGCAATGGCCACTGCTCGAGATTTCGTGCTGAAAACAAGGAGACGAAAGGGGCTTGCGGAGGATGTCACCGTGAGCAAATTCCTGGAGCCAGATCTTTGGAAAGGTCTGAAGGAAAGTGGTGTGCTAGACTCGTGACCCAAAATCAAGACGAGAGCAAAGGAGGCGCCGTATGCTGTAAGGTTTTAATAATTTTCGCGATGTAGTATGAAAGGATTGTTCAATGAAAAAGAATAGTTCAACAAGATCATCATCGTTTCGTAAGGATGTCAACCAACGCCATGATGGCAATTTCATAGAGCATCATGCCGAACGACTTTTACTGGCATGTTTCCAGCATCTTAGCAATGACACCCATGAGGGTCCCATTTTCTAAAGCAGCAGCCACTCTTTCTTTATCAGCTAGCTGTTTGTTGACCTCGTCGCCAGTGCTATGTGTCCCTTCTTTGATTCTTGTATCGACGCGGAAGCGGGGTGGAAGAGACTGCTCGAGTCGAACACGGACGCCGAGTCCTATAACGGTAGCCAAACTACAGTGTGTAATCGTCGGAGTTATGAGGACGGTGACCGTCCGCAGGGGTGAATTCGGGACATCTGGAAGCGTTGGTACAATTGAGATGTCCGGAAGCGAGACCACGGCAAGCGCTCCCAGAGATATCGGGTGCTCCGGGTCGGATATAGTCGAGATAAGATCTAGGTGCTATCTGTTAGACATTTAATGGGACAGAGGGGACACATCGGACCTTGCTCAATACCCGCACAGCTGCGTACTTACCATAAATCTCCTGCTCGTCAATAGGCTCTTCCATCAAATCACCATCGTTGTCAGATTCCACAGACGACGGAGGGCTAGTGGACAGGAGATCGATTGGATATGGAGGAAGCGCAGTTGCAAAGACACTACTGGTCTTAAAGGCACCGGACTTAGACACTACGGGACGCAACCGCGTAGGCAAGTCGGCGGAATTTAGGATCGTAGGGTTCGAATTTTGCATCTCAGACGCCATGATGAACAGAACAAGGTCGAAGTTCTGTCCTTAGAAGGGAGGGTGAGAGTGACCGGCGCGCTGCCCGCGGCGATGCTGCCGTTGATTGAGGGGCAAATAACGAATCGTTGGAGTAACAACTATTTTCCGGATAAGATAAGATAGACGAGCGAGGCCGTGGGTAGCAAACTACTGCGTGTCACTATTGCACGGGATCGATATAGAAATGCGGTGCACTGCCGACTTGTTTCAGAGACAGGAAGACCAGGAAATATATTGAGTAAACTCTCTAAGGTACTTAGTCTCTAGTGACTGTACTCCGTACTCCGTACAGATCTACTCGCTAGTTAGTCATAGTCGAAGGGACTGCCTGAGCGATGGAGAAGGTGGGAAAGTCCGGCGCTAAACCTAGTTGGTCCGGGACTTTTCCTTTCGCCCGCTGTATCGTTACCGTATTGGTATGGTACCATGTTACACCTCGCTCGGGGTACCCTGGAGGTACCTGCACCGTACTCCGACTACAGTACATACTCCGTAGGTATCCATGTATGTACAAGGTTAAGTATCAAGTCACTGATTGACTGGATTGGATATCTTACGAAATGTAATATTATTACCCAATAATTGGAGGAAGAATATGGACGGCTGGGATCGTCACTCGGAGAAGTTCGTGGGCCTTGCTTGACGCCATATTGCGGACGCTACTGGGGGCAGCGCGAGTCTGCGGCAATCCTGCGGCCCCTCAACTTCCGAGGCGATCCCTCTCTACTTAGTGCATTCCGCCCTTTCACACACGCGCTTCACTTCAACCTCTCGACATGCTCTAGCACCTCACACCCTCTCGCCCTTGTCATCCACACCTCCCTCGATATTATTGACCGCTCGCCAGCTCCGCTCACCGTTCAAATTTTACCGTTTCCGTTTTTCAGAGCAATGAGGCGCCAGGCGGCCTCCTAAACCGTAGCCAAGGAGGTGGTTATCGCATGTCTGTCACGGCCTTTCATGCTATCTATTTCCACATGCGAAATTCATTGCGTCAGTGCGCCTCTGATTCTCCAGACCCCAAATTCCCTTGCTCCTTAATTCCTCGCCTGTTGACCTACCCGGCTTCCCTTGTCCCAATGGCTCTCGTGATTTTCTGCCGCTGAACCCCACCGCAAACCAATATGTACTCAAATGCTGATTGCTAGTTGTGATTGAAGTACCAGCCAATTTGCATGTTAACCTCAAACCTCAACTGAACTCGCCCGAAATACCGATGGTATTGAACCACAATGCAGGCTGGATAGGCTTTTAGCGCCCTTTCAACTGTAAGGTACAGTTCAATCTGCTGATGCCACTGGTGGCAAGCATCATTGTCTACCTCGTTTTGATTCGACCTAATGCTATATGCAGAAATTATTCGCACGATACCTGCTACTTCTTGAATTTGGGATATCTTTTGGCGTTGCGCCAATCCTCAGAGGGCGCTTTCCATCCCGGTGTCCCGGTGCGGACACAGACATTCGGCCAAATCGCCTAGTACCATACAGCAGGATTAACGCCTCAAGGCTGAAGTTCAACCCTTCCCGTGCACATATAGACACATCCGTGGCACTTTCGTCTTCCAGCTGTCTGCCCCAACTACACGGATTTTGTAAACGCGCGTCGACTGATCAAGAAAAGCCGGACCACTAGTCTGCATTCAGCTCCAAGTCGAATAGACCTAATACCGTTCGGTCTTGCCTTTGCTACACACTACCGCCATTGCAATTTCTAGTCCCATATTCTTCCAAGACTGGTTTTATCTGGACAAGGCTGGCCTTGCGGGTAGATCTGATTGGAATATATACCTAGGGCATATCATATCATTGGTTTGCGCTTCGCGCCATCTATAAATCCCGACCACCTCGACTTTTCGACGTCAAAAATGCAGAGTTATTCGTTCACAACCCCAACGGGACCTCCAAGGGAAGGCCATAAAAGTAAGCGCGACCATGTAACTCGTCTGAGTCGACCTGGTCAATCGGCCAAACCAAAAGCTAACGTCACCGGCAGATTACGTATTCGTGGATGAGCACAACAGACACAAAAGACTCAAGGGTATGTTATGTCATTGATCTATGGGTGCTGGATATCGAATACTAAACCCTCTAAAATTCAGTGATGCGAGCCTGTAATGGCTGCAGAAAACGAAAGATCAAGTGTGATGCTGCGACAACAAATACATGGCCCTGCTCGGCATGCACTCGCCTTAAATTAGTATGCGTACCCCCTACGATTGGACAGGACGGTGACTTCTCCGCGGAACCAAATGTCGAGGCCGGTTCGGCAGGTTCTCTGGGAGCGCATGATGCACCCGAGCCGTCGCTATCATCGTTTTCTATGCCCCAACCTTTAAGAGGCAACAGCCAGCCTTCCGTGGGAGCCATTCAGCCGTACGCAGATGCGGTGGGGGTGTTCCCACAGTTTCCTCATTCGACTCCCCAGCACCCTGGAGTGTATGAGGTACAGTCACCGCACGTTACTCTACCAGCCCACTCCTATCAGCAACCGCAAATGTTTTCTTCTTCTCAGGCGGTAGATGGTAGCATTTTTGGGGAGCCTGAATCAACTGCTGAAGGTCTCAGCGAGGTCCTCGGGGAGCTTAGAATAGACGAGACCGGCATTGGTAAGGTCAACAACTGCAAGAACTTTATTGGCGGTGGCCAAAATAAAGAATACCACTGACCACTCAGCAGCTCCTTATATCCGGCAACAGAGGAGAGAGGGGACTGAACCGGAAGTTCCAATACAAGATGAAGCTGAAGGGACACTTCCTCCCCTTAACACTGGGGCGGGCTCGACAATCCGAATCCCTCCAGAACTAATGCCAGCTGATGACGAGATTATGAAATTTTTTAAAATCTATTTTGATGATATACACCCTTATGTGCCCGTGGTTCATCGCTCTCATCTCTACTATCAGTGGCAACACGAACGTCACCTGATTTCTCCTCTCCTTCTGGAGGCACTACTGGCATGCTCAGGGAGATTATCGGATGATCCTGCCCAGGGGGCTCAGTGGCTTGCATTGGCGAACAGTGAGAAAGACCCCCTTCCCGCCTTGTTTTCCAGCCCCTAGGCTAGTCCGTTGGTCCGGTACACTTACCATAAAACACGATCATTTCTAGGACACGAATCAAGCTTTATGGATGTGCCTCGCTTGAGTACGATACAGGCGCTGCTCCTTCTTCTGAAGGCAAGGGAGTCGCTACCGAAGAAAGGTTATTACTATCGCTCCTGGCAAACCGTGAAAACGATCGTCTCGATGTCCAAAGATTTGGATATCCATGAGCACTATTCCACGCATGCTGAGAATCGGTCGTGTGATTTAAGTCCAATGGAATGTTTGGTGCAGACGAGGGTGTGGCAAGCACTTTTAGTTGTCGAGGTCATGATCGGTGCGCCGCAAGGTATGAACCTTTTCTTTCATCTCTTGAAGTTCCCCGACTCTAATGTTCACAGGTCGGTCTGATTATGGCGTGGATCCCGATACCGTCAATATGAATCCGGAGCTGAGTAGCAAAGACCTTGATCCGTTTGAGAACGACAGATCAAGGCAGTATGCCTATTTCGTTCAAAATGCCCGTCATATTCGTATCATTACCGACATATATCACAAAATCAAGAGACAAAAGGACTGGGGGGCAAACCCAAAATTTGTCGAGAAAAATCCGCTGTTTACTGATTGGCTCCAAAGTCTACCTCCTGATCTACAAGTGAACTATCCTCCTGACGGGTCACCTCCTTGGGTACCTTCTCACTTCGTGGGCAATATGCATTCGCACTGTCATCTAGGGATTATCTTATTGCACCGTCCCCAGCTGCTCGCTTCCAAGTCTTTTGCAGCCGGTGGAGGCGGAAAACTCCATATGGCTCTATGTTATGCCTCGGCAAAATATATCTGTAGACTTCAGGAAGCGATTCTGGACCGCTGTGGTCTTTCTGGTCTCCTTTTCATGCAAAGGGGTATAAATTTTGCAATATACTGTATACTGACCTGCACAATGTTACATTTGGTGAGTTTCCATTTGGTTGATGGGTATCTTGATTGCATCGCGTGTCGGACTGGGACTCATAACTTCTAGGTTGCCATAACGTCCCCTGATCCCAGCTTCCACACAGACGCGCGAGATTACTTCACACGACACATGCGTATACTTGAACGTTGCTCTTCGGCTTGGCCAATGCCAGAAATCCAGGCTCAGATCGATTCTTTGCGTCTTGCTTTTTCCGCTGACATACATCGCCCCTTCGATCTCCGATCTACATTTCCTTATGGGAGTCCCTCGGAGCCATACCATCCAAGCCCGCCGCCGCTTGATGCGCATTATACACCCCAGTTGAATAATGTCTCTGGTGGTGTTTCAAACAGAGTGGGTTATACGACTTATCCGATCTCACCTCCCATTTCAGCCAGTACTGAAGATTCAAAGTCCGACTCCTCTCAGCTCCAATCATTAGGGATGATACCCTCTCATACGATTCCTGGCCACTCAATGGACGTTCCACTAGTCGACGAAAACAGCTGGGACCCTACGCGCATCATAAAGTAAGGAGCTCGCTACTAATCCTGGCTCACTCGAGATTGCTGACAATTGAGTATAGCCAATGGGACATGGCGTTTTCTATGGGATCATCCTCAGTAAATACGAATTCGCCGCCAATGCCTTCGCAGCGCGTACCAAATACGTTAGCGGGCCAGTATCCTGTTCAATATGGGCAACCAGCCAAGATACCTTCAGTTCCACAGGCGCAAGCCTTATCGCAGCCTCAATTCACTGGACAGCCAATCGTATTCACCGCGCGCGATTGGCAGCAGAGTGTTGCCAGCGTGTTCGACCCTAATGGGCTAAAGCGGCGGTGGAACTACTCGGTCGACCTTGGAGCAGAACATAGTTCGAAACGTCAGCGTTGACTGTGGGGTTAAAAGGCCCCAACCCCGGAGAAGTGAGAGAGGAGCTAGTCTATTCGGTCGGGGCCAGCTTCCTTGGGTGCCCTACCCCAATGAGCACGTGTTTGGTCACCCGTCTTCAATGTTGAATTAAACGTGTCATGCGGAGGGGCGTTTTTTCTTTGTTTTGTTTTTGTATTTCCAGGACGTTGGAGAGACTCTTGGTGTCTTTGCTATTTATATAGGTATACCCTTTGTCCAGAACCAATGGCTTTCGCATTTTAAATCGATAAAATCTGAAGTGTCCATCCTTGCTCCGTTAGAGTTCGATTTGAGCTGCGTAACGAAGAAATAGAAGATGCAACACCCGAATTCTTCCGAGCTATTTGTCGCCTGGAATTAAAAGACAAAATGTACTACTTCGCGCGAACGTCATTCCATTCAGAGCTTATGGTTTCCCACGGTGTGAAGGACACAAAAATGGAGTGCAAACACCCGAGGCAATGGGATAAAGTTGATTGACTTCGTGAATAAATACATAATCATAAATCATGGGACATGTTGAGGGAAAACCAAAAGCCGTTTAATGCAAATTCTCTGGCTGCTGCGGATGGTTCCGTGCTTTATCGTCCACGCCCTCCCAATACCTGTCTGTCAAAGTGCCAACTAATTGCGTCGATTTAGGCCTATTCGCTCTTCACGTGAGCGAACAATCCTCGCCTTATCGCCTGGCAGAGGTTTCAATTCATCACTTGGGTCGAAATTGACACGGGACGTGGATTTGGATTTAGCATGGTCCTGAGGATCATTTTGTTCAGCCTGCTTGTGTAGTCGAGCTTCTTCGAAGGCTACAAGGTCTTCGGAAGTAATAGCGATAGCCGTGGGTTTTCGGCGTATCATGTTTCGGGGTATCGCGGTTCCAAACGTGAAGCAGGTTAAACTGTGGTTGTTTTTGCTTTCTTTGTAGGAAGGGAGACAGCTGCGACAGCGAGAAAAGCACCCGTCGCCTCGACGCAGGTGACGTGAGCGCGGTCCACGTGACCAGGACCGCGTTCCGCCGGTTCAGTTTTACTGCACCCGCCCAGCCCCAGGTTTTCACCAGCACCTCAGTGTTAGCAACGATGCTCCAACATCGTGTGACAGTTTGGCGACCTCGGTCTGCTAGACTGCTTGACCGGACATTGCCGCTTGTCCGCCGGTTCTCTGTCTTCCAGCAACGAGCGACGGACGAACCGCCGCTGCGTAAGTTTTTTTAACCTCTCGATTCTCCTTCAAATCCCACCTCAGTGGTCGGGGCTCTTACTTGCATCGCTAATTGTGCCGGAAAATATAAACAGGATTTGATAACACGAATTGGAGCCGTTCTCTAAATGGCGATTCTCGCCCCCCAAGAACTGGTTCGAAGCCTGCGAACTCCGAACGCCCCGGCCCTCGACGGGCCTTTGACGCACGATCTCTCGCAGCTCCCAGGGCCGGTGGTCCGCCTACAAATGTTATAAGAAATCCCCGTTTCCGGAACCCTCGTAGTGGTTCCCCAGCATACGGACGTGGGCCCCGGTCTCCTACTAAATCCGCCGCCCCGAAAAACAAGAAAGAACCTCGCAAACGAATCGCCCGAGCACAGGACCTGGAGGAAGGGGGAGACATGCAAAAGTCCGACATCGAACAGGCCTATCGCAAACTCGCAGAGCGAACAAAACTTTCCCCGAGCTATTACAATCCCCAGCCCCCCATGCTTTCCAATCTGGAAAGGACACTGCCTTCTTTCCCCTCAAATTCTGGCGATCATCGTTCCGCAGTTCTCGAGAAGCTGCTATCTCTAAGCGATCGCACGCCAAATGGATATATCCCACCTCAGGAGCTTGGCCAGCGGCTTGTGAATGGACAATATGTTCATTTTTTGAACGAGGAGGAGAAATCGCAAGCCCTGGTGGAAGCCCAGAGGCTTTCGCAAGAGCGTGCGGATGCTTATTCACAGCGCACAGGCGATCTTGTGGAACCGGAAAAAATAGATCTTGCACCTCTAAACACGGACGACCGAGGATTTCTGTTACAGTCTTTGGTTCAAGGGAAATACACCAAAGATGAACATGTCGGCAAGTCTGCCGTTGTTGGCGAAGTCATCAGGAATCTTGCCAACAATGAGACATATCAAACAGCCGGTAAGAGCGCACAGTTTGTGTCCAAGCTCGAATCTCTTATGGCATCAAGTCGTCCTATGAAGCGTGCGTGAGGATATACTAGGGGTTACAGAAGCAAGAATGCCTGAATGTAAATGTGGTGTTTTGTACTAGAAGATTTAATGTACAATAGAATCTAGCTTCTCCTTTCTCTTTTCCCTCTTCGTTTATCAGATCCATGCTATTGACCGGCTTCCTCTGCCTACCCTATTAAACGTAGTTTTCTGCCACTTGGAAATCACCAGAAAAAGCTGGTGGGAATCCTTCAATGCTGGGTCGGTCATGTTAAGTCTAGAGAGTGAATTCAGGGTCTTGCTAAAGATAACAGGCCGAAGAACATATCAAATCGGACTTGCACTGCGAGTCAGTTCGAATCATAAACGTTCCATGCCCTTCTTCGCTGCCTCAAAAAGATCCTTCAACTCTTTTTGTCCCTTTTCTGTTAGTTTTTCCATCTGATCCTGGGCTTTGCGGGTATCGTCCGGGCGAGCGATTTTCTTTTTTTGCATATCCTGCAGGCGTTTATGTACAACACCTCGCGATTCACGGATTGCAGCAATGGCTTTTTCCATCGCGGACTTCGCCGCTATGACGGTTTTGTCACGAGACTCCTTGGTAGGGGGTGGAATGGGCACGTTAAGCTGAAGAGTATTATGGGGATCGGGCTGTGGGGTCAAAGACAAGTCGGAGGAAACAATAGCGGAGGTGATTGGTTTTATATGCTACTCAATCAAATGAACATCAGATTTAGAATAGCCAAGGTTTATGCGCCTTCCCAAAGATCGGATATGGCAATGGACTCACCTTTTCTTCGGAGACCAGGATGGCTACCAACCGACCACTTTTAGGAAAAACTTGCGCCAGATCCCCTAGTTTCACCATTTCCTTGCTTCCTTTGCTGATTTGAACCCGTAGGCTCTCAATGGCATCAGTGCCGAGCCTGCCACCTATGCGAAGCTTGGAGAGTTCATCCTTGAGTCGGGACACGGCGGCTACAATTCCCTCCTGCAAATGGGAGAGGTCGGATGGATCCTCAGGTGTCCCTGCTGACTTTGACGGATTCCCTTCGGATTCTGCAGCTGAGTTGCTTTTGCCCCGGTCCTTCTTCTTGAGCAGCAACGAGGTACTCGAGAAGCTTTGAAACGGGCTCGACACAACTCCCTTGTGTTGAATCGGTTCATGTCGCAGATGTGGTACCAGCAGACTATTATAAGGTGAACATTGCTTTGAAATTCGGCGAAAAACAGACGACGTAGCGACGCGCAACATTCTTTCTGGCAATCAAGAAGAAGAAACAGGAAAGGCAGGAGTTGAGATCAAAAGCAAGCGGGCAGGTGGTATCAAATAATGTGTTGTTGACGAGAGCGCCCGCGGAATGCGGACGTGGTGATGATTAATCCTCTACAAGGATGCTTTAACTACTCCATCGTTATCACCTCGCTTTGACAGTCTTGAGCACATACAGCTGGGCCATGCTCTACAGCACATGGTCTAGTCACGGCTGATTGGATGGTCCAGGAAATCCGGCGGAGTCTACTTGAGGTCACTAAGCTCGCAAAGATGGAAACCGAGAAGAGGAAAAAAAGATTTGACGTGATTCTCATAGGTAAAAATATTTTGACCTCTATTCGTTAAAAAAAGAAACTGCAAAATGACATGTGCGTAATTTTCCCCATTCTCCGTGCAGTATTAGATTCTGCCCATCTTTTTTTTTTCTTTTTGCTACCTCCATATTGTTTTCCTTATTTACCGGGTAGCCATAGCCTTGGTGATGAGTCTCTTAAGAGCAAGTTCCTTCTTCTTGAGATCCTCGGGCGTGGAGTCCTCGATCTCGAGTTGGGCCATGGCGTCACTGAGGGCAGACTCGATCTTCTCCTTGTTACCCCGCTTCAGCTTGAGAGACATGGTGGGGTCGGAGACGATCTCCTCCACGCGCGAGATGTAGGACTCGAGCTGCTGGCGGGACTCGAATTTCTTGGTGAAGGCCTCGTCGCTGGACTTGAACTTGGCGGCATCTAAAATATAGTAAGTGATCCATTTCAAAGCCGGGTTATAGATGGGGGATACGGAAGGACTTACCATCGATCATCTGGTCAATCTCAGTGGTGGAAAGCTTGCCGACAGCGTTGGAGATGGTGATGTTGGCGGTACGACCGGAGGACTTCTCCGTGGCGGTAACCTTCAAGATTCCGTTGACATCGACTTCGAACACAACCTCCAGAGCAGCCTCTCCGGCCTTCATGGGGGGGATGGGAGCCAGAGTGAACTCTCCGAGCGAAGTGTTGTCGGCACAGTTGGTACGCTCACCCTGGAACACGGGGAACTGAACAGTGGTTTGGTTATCCACGACAGTGGTGAAAGTACGCTTCTTGATAGTAGGGACAGTCTGGCCACGAGCCACGACAGGGGCAAAAATGTTGCCTTCCATAGCGACACCCAGGGACAGCGGGACAACATCCAGCAGCAGCAGGTCCTGAGTTTCGGCGGAAGAGGCCTTTCCGGAGAGGATACCAGCCTGGACGGCAGCACCGTAGGCAACGGCCTCGTCAGGGTTGATGCTCTAGATACTTAATTTAGTGGTCGGTCGATTTCGAAAAAGGTCAATAGGGGGCATACCTTCTCCAGCTTCTTGCCGTCGAAGAAATCACTGAGCAACTTCTGGATACGGGGAATACGAGTGGAACCACCAACGAGGACAATCTCGTCGACAGCGCTCTTCTCGAGGCCAGAGTCCTTAAGGACCTGCTGCACGGGCTCCAAGGTACCAGAGAAAGACTTGGCATTCAGATCCTCGAAACGAGCACGGGTGACAGAAGAGTTGAAATCTTCTCCGTCGAACAGAGAGTCAATCTCAACAGTCGTCTGCGTAGCGTTAGAGAGGGTACGCTTGGCACGCTCGCAAGCGGTTCTCAGGCGGCGCAGAGCCCGGGCATCACCCGAGAGGTCCTTGCCGGTCTTCCGCTGGAACTCCTTCTTAAAGAATTCAAGAAGGTTGGTGTCAAAATCTTGTCCACCAAGGTGGGTGTCACCAGCAGTAGCCTTGACGGTGAAAACACCACCCTGGATGTTCAGAAGAGACACATCGAAAGTACCACCACCCAGATCGTAGATCAGGACATTACGCTCCTTGTCAGACTTTCCAGAGCCGAGACCATAGGCGATAGCGGCGGCAGTGGGCTCGTTGATGATACGGAGGACGTTGAGGCCAGAGATGGCACCGGCATCCTTCGTCGCCTGACGCTGGTTGTCGTTGAAGTAGGCAGGGACGGTAATGACAGCCTTCTCGACCTTCTTTCCGAGCTTGGTCTCGGCAACCTCTTTCATCTATTCCGAATGTTAACAAACAGCCCTTCGGTGCGGGAGGCAATAGGGAAAACATTACCTTCATCAGAACCATGGAGGAGATTTCCTGGGGGGAGAATCTCTTGGTCTCTCCCAAGTATTCGACCTCCACGACGGGGTTTCCACCCTGGTCGACGACCTTGAACGGCCAGGATTCAACATCTTTCTTGACAATGGGGTCTTCGTACCGCCGACCGATCAGACGCCTAAGACTCGTCAGAATCTGATGAAAAGAACGGGCGAAATGAAAAGCCTTACTTGATATCGAAGATGGTGTTCTGGGGGTTCATAGCAGCCTGGTTTTTGGCGGCCTCACCGATCAAACGCTCCTTGTCGGTGAAAGACACGAAAGACGGCGTCGTGTAGCTACCCTGCTCGTTGGCAACTGAACAAAGCAGACGAACATTAGCATCGAGCCATGGCTACCAGGCTCTGGTCATGTCGACTTACTGATCTCAACGTTGGTGCCCTCATAGTTGGCAACGCAGGAGTAGGTCGTGCCTGGGGGTTCACGTCAGCAAGATAGTGCTAATCTGATGGAGAAGGCATTTATGTACCAAGGTCAATGCCAATGGCGCCTTCGTAAACCTCGTCCGACATTGTCACAAAAGAAAAGGTAGAAGTGAGATGGAAATTAAGTGAGGGTTAGGAATAGGAGAAGGATAATGAACGGAGATGTAAGGTTTATAAAATGCACCCCGAGTGATTTAGGTGGTAGCGCTTAAAAAATTTGTAAAGTTTTTTTTTTTTCCCGTTCTCTCTTTTTTTTTTAGAGTGAGGGCAAGAAAAAAAAATTCGAACCCACTTCGCCTTTTTCCTTTTTTCTTTTTCCGTTCCCTGGACCGCCCTTGTTCTCGCCCTAAGCCGGTAACCCAACTGTAAATTTCCTCGGCTGGAGGGGCAACACCTCGATAATCTTAAACTTACGGTAATACAGAGTATCTGTACTGTAACGTGATAGTCACCTACTCCGTAGACATTCCGAAGTGTTCCTTAGTCATCCCAAGGCACTCCACTCCATACCTGACTACCTTGCCCACTCATTGTGTATTACTATTCCGTATGTAGCTAACCAGCCAGGCATTCAACTGCCTACGGAGGCCAGTGGGTATGTAGGTAACCGACCAGACCTATACACAAGGTATGTACATTTCTGTATGGGTAACGCCAATTCATAGGTAGGTAGGTACTGTAGGTGCTACTCCGGACATACTACCTAGGTATCGTGGTTTTTGCCTGCAGATAGGGTAGGTACGTAGGTACTGTGTAACTGTGTACGGGTATCTCTTGCTTATGATTCCTGAAGCATAGGTGAGTAGCATCTCTCATCTCTTTGAGGATTTACCGACTGGTCAATGATAATCAGCATGATCATTAATACTATATGATCACAATTATTGCCCATGGCTTGATGCTCTGTATATCTAAGGTACGGAGTAGAGACTGGGGGAGGGCGGCGGGGTTCGGGACTGGTCCGTAGACACCCTTTCCATTACTTCGAAATTGACTTACTCCGGAGTACACCTTGCATTGGATACTACCTAGGTAGGTATCAGATAGTGCGTGAGTTAGTTAACTACCAGTTTTGTGCTGGACTAGACACGAGGAAAGACCCAGCCCGAAGAAACTGAGGCAAAAAGTGGGAGACAACCTACGGAGTAAACCTTCGTGAATTAATTCCACCCCTCCCGTAGCAAAGTAATTGGAGGGGGGAAACAAACACAAGGATATAAAGCAAACAGCATCTCATGGCACTTAGTCACCGGGGAGGCACAAGAGAGAAAGGAGGTTTCAGTCAGAAGATGGAAAGAAAGCCGTCTCTCAAGTCTAGGCTGCCAGGCCTACAGGAATGTATTTGCAGCCTGAGGCAGAAAAGTGGATAGACCCTCCACCGTTGTTCCAAACAACAAAGATTGAAGCAGTCCGCATCCTGGCAGCCACCTTACCACCCGTGTGCACTCATTACTCCTTCTTGCTGTCCCATTTACCTACCTACCTTCCTATTAATGGTACTATAGAAGCCATTTGAGAGAGAAGAAAGTGGAGGGTCGCCAACCCCTCGCCTGTTCCATAATTTTAACTCTGGTATGGTGCATTTGCACTAATAAGTCAAGTTTCGTTTCCTTCGCCCAAATCATCCGTCAGCTGCTTTGCCGGTCTCTAAAACCCCTTGTAAGTCGTTATAATCGCTCTTCTGTCCCCTTCTGTCGTCAGTTGGCTTCCTTGCTTCTAACTCACTCATGAGCGTGAATAAGTGAAGTTCTGCTTATCGTTACGAACGACGAAGATAATTCCCCGATGGATATCGACACAACCAGAAGGAACAAAAAGCCCCGACTTTTGCTAGAGTCTGAACGGGAGAGGCTTGAGGAGTTTATTGATTCCATTCACTATTCCGCCAGGTATATACACTTCATGCGCACCTCATGGATGGTAGCTCAATGTGTGCAGATATTCAGATGATCAATACGAATACCGCCACGTCCAGCTGCCTAAAAACATGCTCAAAAAGATTCCAGCGGACTACTTTGACAGTGCAAAAGGCACGTTGAAATTGCTTTGGGAGGAGGAATGGCGGGCTCTCGGTATTACACAGGTATGCAGAAGTGGACAGCATTCCGGTTTGTAAATCGAGAAAAGCCAGAGACAATCTAACCCGAGACCAGAGTTTGGGCTGGGAACACTACGAGGTGCACGAGCCAGAACCGCATATTCTTCTTTTCAAGTGAGTTGAAAGCACATTGTGTATCCCGCCAGCCCCCTACTTACAACTGATCTCTCTAGGCGCCCTCTGAATTACCAACCGCCAGTCTCCCAGTAAATGGGAAGGCCGTCCACCCCATCACTCGCGCCCCGAAATCTCGCCTTCCCGGTCAAAAGAGGAAGGTGATACCACCCATCAAAAAAAAGATGCGGCTCGAAAATGAGATTGATTAGGGAATCAGTTGCTTCATCAAACTGAGGTTCTGAATTGAGATACGGTTCGACTGTTTAATTAGACCCTATCTGCTCCCTATGTCATGGCTACCTTGGTCATACGCTTTTTGTTCACTGTTCGTATCCTGTGAGATGGGACATTCAGATTATGTTTTTGGCCAGCCACTGCTCCCACTGGGCAGTAGTGAAACTGCTGCTGATCTCTGGCTCCTCAATGCCCTAGACAATGGCGTCAGTGTTCCAATCTCAGAAGTCTCTCCCTCGCATGACAAGAGGTGCCATACATTGAAATAGACGGTTGGGGAAACATGGACCCCTACTACCCGATCTGACTGTATTACGTGTTAACATTGTACCATTGCATCTGAAGTCCTAAGACTCACTTTTATCATCAATTTGATATCATTGGTCACGCCGTTCCCGACATTCAACTGCCCTTGAGTCGCGGGCGTTTCCCTAATAGTCAATAATCCAAGTACTTCATTTTCGTCCACACCAACACTACCGGCAATCGTGGACAACTTTTTGTAGGTTACATTGCGTGTTTCCCTGAGGACACTAACGTCAAAGAATTCCTCTTGGCGTTGGTATAGAGCAGCACTGAAATCCCAAAACTTATCCGGTGCGATTCGCAAGACAGCAGCAGCAGCTTCATGCGTGAGAGTGGACGACGGGTGCCAAGGTTGAATATGCTGTCGGAAAATAACTTGCAACTTAGACTGATGTCGCTCAATAATCATTGGTCTCACTGAGGTGTAAAAGGTGTTGAACAACTTGGCAGAAAACTGGACACCACATTAGTAGACCACTTACCATGTAATATAGGACAATCGATTCATTTTATACTGACCGGACACACATAATCAAGGTCTTTCGATCACCTCGGGGTCAGTTGTTTCTCGTGTGCACTGATTCGCCTGGGATTCCCGGCAAACATACATAGCTCTAGAGTGTACTGTGGAGGTTGGGCTGATGGCACCAACAATCTCTGGCCTGCGAATTTCGGAGGTAGGGCCATTGCTGGCTGGAAGACTTGTATGGTTTTTCTGGCTAGATAGGTAGCTAGGTAGTAGATAGGTAGGAGGGGAGGGCGGGATCTATCTCGCAAGTCGCAAGTCAACAGTATAATGATGTAATGCTTAGTTAGGTAGTTACTGAAGGTTTACCTTACTTATCAAATACTGTACTGTACGGAGTATTGATGTATTGGCCGGTGGCGCTATTCCGGTCTTGTCCAGCCAGCATGTTGTTCTAGTTCGGTCTCAAGCTGCATACCTACCTAGCTTGACATACTCCGTAGAATCGAGGTCCCAAAGCGGAGTAGGGGAGGGATTTTGCAAGGTAGTAAGTCTCAAATTTGATTTGTTGAAGAGAGTGAGGTCCAGAAAATAATACTGCGCGCGGTCTGATATACATACATGCATCTATTAGATTTTGAGCCCTGGAAAAAAAAAAAAGCTATATGAAAAGCAACGCAACATGGAAATTCCATCCCTGGGCCCCCGGCCTGGGATTGCTTTATTCATTTCTGTGTTCTGACAGTGCCGACGCCAGCGCTTATGACGCCTGGTAATTGTTCCTGCCCGATGTGATATAGCATTCCAACAGCAGCGCCTGTCGCCATCAGGACCAAGATGGTGATTCCAGCAATAAGAAAGAATGGAGAGCTGATATCCCTCTTGTGGCATGCTGATCCCCCCCATCTTATTTTCTGGATGGTACCATCGTCTTTCCGAAGTACGGTTTCTTGACATTTGCAGGCATAGCAGTCGCGGGCAGCGGTTTGGTCAGATGACCCGGATTTTCTATAGCAATAGCCATGGCCTGAGCAATTCTGTGTCAGCTCACTGCACGAGGAGTTTGACGCATAACAAACTGGTGCCACGGGTAGCAGGTTAGATTGAGGTATAGCATCAGATGTTGAAAGAGTTGTTCTCGGCAGGGTGCCCTTTTTCCCCGCTGCCCGGGGTTCCAAGGCTCTCGCTTCCCTGTGCGCGCTCCGCTGAGGCAGAAACACAGCTGTAATCAGCCTATTTCCCCAAGAGGCGTCCAAAGCACGCAGGACCGATTGTAGGAGTTCGATGGTGGGGTTTGAACTGTCATGTTCCTTAAGAGAATGAGAATGATGTTAAAAGCTATGCAGCCGGAAGATCAAGAGTATTCGATTACCTGTAGTGAGATTTTGAGGGTTGTGGCCGAAGTTCGCTCATCAATCCATGACTCCATCATACTAGCTCGGCCAAGCAACGCTGATTCAAGGATATGAGGTGACTCCTCGAATACAGAGCCCTCGGGAATGCAAAGCTTTCCGGCCTGCGTTATAGAGGAGTTAGCTTTGAAAGGCCTCTGGTATTGTGGTCGCAAGGAGTCTTGGATCCAAAGAAAGGGCAAATATACCTTTTGTAAATCCGATGGAACACCATTGCCAATGTGGAGCTCGCAGTGTCTCGTTTGAGTCGTGTACAAGCTGCCCGGTTCATTTGCGGGCGACGTAGATGCAGATAAATGGGACAGCAGGTCGTCAGAGGAGACTCTCGCGAGTAAGTTTTGTTGAAATTCATTTTCAATAATTGAAGCTTGCCATTATGAGTATGTTTTTGGCAATAGCTATATAACGATGGTTAAGGCATACCAAATTTGGAGTCTACCCCTTCAAGGATAAAGAGATCTCGAGTTGGATTATCCAGTTCGGACTCAAGACCGAACAAAGGGGCCGGCGTTCCCCCAAGATCGTTCAACATTTCGATTGTATCTTGATCCGCTCCTCCCAAGGTTAGGGATACCTCCGATCCCATCCGAAGATCTATAATTCGCTGCACCACATTATCTGAAATGGCGGAAGCTTTGAAATTGTGCGGCAGGTAGGTATCACCGAATGTAAGAACTAAAGCCTCCGGTGTTCGGGTTCCAGACACGATTGCCACCGACAAAGCTAAGACATTGAAGAGCTGCTGCATGTTGGAACAAATGGAAAGTATGACGTTCGTTTTCTTCGATATCGAGAAGCAGCCGTCTGAGGCTTGCTAGTCCGGAAGCCGATGACCTTTAGGTTCCAAGTTGTTGAGTGGTAACATCCAAGGCGCGGCGGCACGTAGGCGGATATCGTATCACGTGCGGCGCTACTAGGTTGATAGATTAGTCCCCTGGCAACATTTTAACCTTGCACCTCCGGACGGTACGGTCGTTACTACCACTGTTAAATGTCTTATCCAAGCTGATCGGATATGTTTTGTACCCGAATAACCCCTTCAAATGACATTTCTCAATGTTTCGTCTAAGACGAGTCTTTCCAACTGGCCGAGTGGTATCCCGGCTTAGCCCACCATCGCCTGAGCGCAGTCCCTTTAAGATCCGCCATGTACAGCTTCAGAGACCGTGGGTCCGGTTAGTACTATGATATCATTTGCCCCTGTTCCAATATTAATACAGAAGGCAGAACATTCGTTAAGAAAGGCTTTCTTTTCGGAGTGGCATTTTATCTATGGAGTTCGCTCGTACTCCTCCAATTCGACGAGGACGACGACGAGACACAAGAGACTCTTGTTGAGAGGACAAGCAGAGATGAAGAAGCGAGAGACACAAAGTCTAATGTCGACACCCAAGGATCAGTTGATTCGGATGAAATATTTGTCCCACTGGGCTGGCCCCAGATTCACGAAGGAGAGCTCTACTCAGCATCGGATCCGGAATGGCAGGAATTTGTTAAGATATCTCGAGATCGCGCAAAGCTCCAGTCTCTAAGAGGTATGATCTATCATGTGGCTGTTTATATAGCATGTACTCACTCGCTCAGATGAACTGGCATCGATTGCGTTAACAAGTGCAAATCGGTCCCACCTACTCTCGCGCATTCTAGGAGGTCCTTTGACCGTCACAAGACTCTGGCTTGTACATTGGTTTCCATCCCGGGCCCCTCCAACCTACAGTCGTTCCGGGTAAGTGGTATTGAAAAACCGCATTATAAATACCATCTGCTTACACTATTTAGGCTTGAAATAACTGACTACGGTGTATCCTGGACCTCGAAACAGATCTCCGCAGAGGTTGGGGACCGAATAGTGAGATGCGCCCGGCCAGGCTATGTGACAATTGCTATGAAAGATGCTTTGATGGTTTTGTTGAAGAGGCAGGCCGCCCGGCTTGGCATGACACGCTTCGGCCAGGAACAACAGCAGGAAGCAACGGTTTCGCCTTCTCAAAAGAAAGAAACCCCGCGTGATATTAATTCTTTGGAGGCGCTGGATCGTATAACTCAAGCTCGGGGCTCACCTCCACCGGAAGTTTCTCGTGAAGGAACACCGCAAGACAATACGGAGACTCGTCTGCACTCGTCTTTCCTTATTGCCGCACTACAAATGCTGCCGCTGCCAACTTTTGGGCCCGGCTCCGATCTTTTCGCTGCTAGGGCAGCTTTCAAGCTGCGATTACAAAATTGCTTGGCTCGAGAACGGCGCACCCCTCCTCGTGGGGTCTTCTACTTTTCTGGGCCTGTTGGTCTTAAGGGTTCGAAGGGATTTTGCAGGGTTGAAGTAAAGGGCGAGTATAATCCGGCGTCAGCAAGCTGGAGTCGAGTTACAATGCAGCTCAAAGACCTAAGCCTTTTCAAGCAGAAACCCCGGGGCGGCTCATAACCTACTGCCACTGTTCGGATCAATACTCCTTGATAATCTGTAAGTGACACGATACACAGTCAAAAGACAGCTTTTTGCGATGGTAGTATAAAATGGCTGGACATAACCAGACAATTGTATTCCTTCAGTTACCTGTTTCGTGCATACGGAAAGGACGAGGGCAGACAGAGAGAGGTCGTTTAATCTAGATTCCAGCTCCGATTCATTACGTACTACGTATGTTAAAAGTATTGCATTAAACTTTGCGCCGCCCGCCGTTCATAGTGGGGCCAACAGCTCCCCTCCGGCCTCTGTGAACTGCGAAGCTTCAACAGCTACATGCAAGCAATCGATCGGTATTTCAAATTAGGCATATCTCGGCCTAACAGAAATCATGGACCAGTCGCCTCTCACTCCGCCGCGGAACCCCAATCCTATCGTTTTTTTCGACATCACGCTGGGTGGTAAGCTTTAACACAACACTGTTGCCATCTTCCCAAGATAAATAACGCTTCACTAGGGGAACCTCTTGGTCGCATTAAGATAGAATTATTTGCAGATACCACCCCCCGGACGGCGGAAAATTTTCGCCAGTTCTGCACGGGCGAAAGCAAGAACTCTCACGGAAGGCCGCAGGGCTACAAAAACAGCAAATTCCACCGAGTTGTAAGCTTGAAGAGAACTCTCAACTCGTGGCCCAATTGTCGCTCAGGAAGCTAATCCAGCGTTCAAAAGATCAAAGACTTCATGGTACAGGGTGGCGATTTTATTAATGGTGATGGCACAGGATGCTGTTCTATCTACAACATGCCCCGGTTTCCTGATGAGAACTTTGCCCTGAAGCATGACCGTCCGGGATTACTGAGCATGGCAGTAAGTCGCTGGCCAAAAAGATCATTTCCCCAACTCTCTACTAAAATGAAATAAAAATCTAGAACTCAGGCCCTGATACAAACGGCTGTCAATTTTTTATAACAACGACGGCTACTCCTTTCTTGAATAACAAACATGTGGTTTTTGGGCAAGTCATTGATGGAATGGACATTGTGCGAATGATCGAACATACGCGCACGATAAGAGATAAACCAAATCAGGACGTGGTTATTTCACAATGTGGGGAAATGTGAATTCCAGATTCCATCTTGTCTTTCTCTTGGCAGCTATTTAAAAAGGAAAAGCAGTGTAATTCTGTCCCATCTGGCATGACATCAAGATTTTGGCTCGTCTTGTTGCTTTGGTGTGCCCTAAGCCTACAGCTTAAACTTTCGAAGGTAGTCGGAGGCCAGGTTTATGGCCTCGTCAACCTTGTCGGGGTGAAGGCCGTTGCCGATTGAAGTAGAGCCTTTTCCTCCGGCCTTACCACCCACCACACCGGCAACAATACTGGCCCACTCACTGGCAGAAGCACCCTGGTCATCCATTGGCTGTCGGTAATGTCAGCCTTCGTTAATTCCTTGCCTTTGAAAACCTTCCAAGAGGGTTCACACTAGGAGAGGTACACACCTTCGAGACATAGCAGCCATGAGCGACACGACCCTGACTTCCATCCGCGGCCAGCACATACACAGTCTTGTCCTTCAATTTCGACTTAACATGGTTCAGAGATTCACTGACGGCCTTGGCATTAGCAGAAATGGGAAGTCCGGTGACAAGCCATGACTTATCCTGATTCTCTGGGGCTTGGAAAAAGGCGGTGATCGTCTCAACGGCCTTCTTCGACTCCAACTTCTGTTGTGCCTTCTGTGAATCAATAATCTGTTTATTAATACTCGTAAACCGCTCCCGGAACTTCGTCTTCTGCACAGCAGAAATAAGTAGCTGGTTTAGGTCCACTTGTATCTGCTTAGCCTCCTGCTCTTTCGCTGGGCTTAGAGCCATCGATTGCAGATGGTCCAGACGCTTTTCGAAATCGCTGGCAACACGCTGGACGTGATGAGCATCTTCGCCCGTCACCGCAATGATCCTGCGGATGCCTTTCGCGATGCCACTTTCCTCCAAGATGATAAGGTCTTTTATGTCCCCTGTTTTGAGTACATGTGTGCCGCCACAAAACTCAATGCTGACCTTTTCCCAGCGAGGGTCGTCCACTTGCTTTAGTATCTCGTCTAATTCAACCCCAACTGAAACAACACGAACCGGATCAGGGTAGGTTTCACCAAAAACAGCCCTGACTCCCGAGATTTGGCGTGCGGTGGCAAGAGGAATTTCTTGTGAATAAACTGCACAGTTTTGCCTGATGTATTCCGTAGAAAGTTCCTCAATCTTCTCCAGCTCCTTTTCTGTAACAGCAGACTTGTAGGAGAAGTCAAATCGAAGTTTTTCGGCAGCAACAAGAGAACCTCTCTGTTCGATGCCATCACCGAGGACTTCCTTTAGTGCAAAGTTCAAAATATGCGTTCCGGTATGGTTGTTTCTGATTGGCCACCGGCGAAGTTCATCATACTCACAAAGAACGGAATCGCCAACAGCGAAAGAGCCATATTTGATAAAACCAGTATGAAGAACATATCCGCCATAAAGTTGAACATCACCAACCTCTAATTCAGCTTGTCCGTCAATGACGATTCTGCCGGTGTCGTTTTCCTGACCACCTTGCTCAGCATAGAAATTTGTGCGATCAAGGATAATCCCAAGTTGGTCCCCATCGGGGACGCTCTCGGTGGATGAATGAAACGATTTGGCATGGTAAATTGCCTTGATCTGGGCATTAATATTGCCCTTATCGAATTTCGCGGCATCGTTGGTCTTCAGAACATCCTGCATGCTTTCCAGCTTCCCAAGGTCGTGGACATCAAGTTTCACGGTGTCTGCAGCGGTCTTCTTCTGGCCTTTGCTAGCCTCTTTAGCTCTCGAGCGAGCCTCCTCGAATTCCCCATCATCAATGTCTAATCCACGTTCTTCTGCCATGAGGCGAGTCAAATCAACTGGGAATCCAAAAGTGTCATACAGCCTCCAAACATCAGCACCGTGGAGTTTGCGAACCCCTTTGGTCTTGGCTTGATTGGCATAATTCTCGAATTGTCGCTCCCCACGATCCAAGGTTTTAGAAAAGGATATCTCTTCCTCGTCAAGAATTTCCATGACATCGTGTTGCTTTGTTCTCAACTCCGGGAACATATCACCGAGCTGGTCAACAACAGTGGGGACGATTTTGGAAAAAAAGTTACCAATCTCAACTCCGAAGTACTTTCGAGCAAAACGGGCGCCTCTGCGAAGAACTCGACGAATGACATAACCACGACCTTCATTGTTTGGGGTTACGCCATCAGATATAGCGAATGTCAAGGTACGGACATGGTCCGCCACAACGCGATATGCGGTATCGATTCCATCAGAATCTTCGGCACCAAACCGCCCTCGGTATTCCGGGGCTCCCGTTATTTCCTTGATGACCTGGAACAGGGGCGTAAACACATCGGTGTCGTAGTTTGATGATTTGTTTTGCAAGATTGAGACGAGCCGTTCATATCCCAGTCCGGTATCAACGTGCTTGTTCGGGAGAGGCTTCAAAGAGCGGTCACTTTCGCGGTTGTACTGAATGAAGACATTGTTCCAAATTTCAATGACGTTGGGGTCATCTTCGTTAACAAGATGGGCAGCGTTACGACCACCAATCCTGTCAAAGTGTACTTCACTGCAAGGTCCGCAGGGGCCTTGGTCACCCATTTCCCAAAAGTTATCCTTCATGTTTCCAGGGAGAATGTGATCTTCGGGAACGCCGACAGATCTCCAGAGGGCTTTAGCTTCCAAGTCTGGTTCAAGTCCGCCATCCTTGCACCCTTCGAAATAGGTCACATAAAGACGTTCAGGATCCAGGTGGTAGACTTTAGTCAAAAGCTCCCAGGAATACTGGATTGCTTCTTGTTTGAAATAGTCACCAAAGCTCCAGTTGCCGAGCATTTCGAAGAAAGTCTGTGCAGTGTAAGCTTGATTCTACTCTATTATACCTCCCCACATCAATTCATTCTCGGTAATCAACCTACATGGTGATAACTATCTTTCCCGACATCGTCTAGGTCCTGTCGGGGAATTAGTTGCGTTCCCCGAACCTGTTTCTCAACCTTGAAGATGTCGTGTACTCACGTTATGCTTTCCGCCGGCCCGGATACACTTTCAGACCTAGTTAGTGAAGGATTGGCGATGGATGGGATGGAGACAACCTTTTGGGAATTGACTGCACTCTTTAAGGTCGCAAAGTCCGAGTTCGGGTCCACGGTGCCTAGAAAGATTGATTTGAATTGGTTCATTCCTGCATTGGTAAACAGCAGAGTGGGATCGGACAGCGGAACAACTGGCGACGAGGCAACTGGCGCGTAAGAGCGTTAGTGGCGACAATCAGCAAGACAATCGCATGAGGGGTCACAAACCAAAGGTGTGGCCATTTTCCTTGAAATATTTGATGAACGCATCCCGTACACTCCGCGCAGTCCATTCTGCTTCTCCCGGAATTTGGGAGCTCATTTTGGCGAAGAGGGGGCGTTTTTGGGCGGGCAAAATGGCTGGAAGTGGGGGAGTGTGAAGATGGTAGAATGTTCTGGGGTTTGACCTAAAGGGCGATACCAGATGAGTCAAACCCAGTTCCCCATTTCTCAGGATTCTAGGGGCTCGCATCAAGCAACCCCCCTCGGCAATGCCTTCGTTTGCATGCAACTGTATTCTGTTCCTGGGAACCGATATTTAAGTCTAATTGTTCATGTGCAAGGCTTGCTGGATATTTCTGCCCATTGGTCGGTCCAGCTGAATGTGGTAGATGGCGGCGCAGCATGATGGTACGGGAATTCTGAACGGCAGAAAGCGCCCCGCCGAGAGTGACCCTGACGGAGATCGACCTCTGGCAAAAAGGTTCAACGACCTTCACATAGGTAAAATATCTCTCGTTATCTACATCTGGCTGCAGTGGCCCATACACTAACGTTGCGACCTTTTTTCAGATCCTGTAGCACTTTATAACCACCACCACCATCATCATCATCATACATTGACGCCGAGTACAAGCCAGGAACTTTCGGTGTCACCTGACTTGATGCTGCTGGATGATCAAAAACACAAGATCTACGTCCAAGACCTCGACCGAGAACTTGCAGAGGTGGACTTGCCGGGGGATTCGGTTGTTTTTCTCCCCGGGATTGAGGAGACATGGGCAACTGTACCCAGGATGATGCTTGCGGATAGCAAGAATAATTGCAACGAGCTGGTCCTTTATCGGGAGCCCGTGTCTCTGCTAGAGCCGAACAAAAATAGCAATGTTAGAAGAGCACTGGTTGAGACTAGAGAACGGGCTAGGGCCAGGCAAAAAGAGCAGATGTCTCCTTGTTCTGGTGTGTCCCGTTACATGTCGTCAACGCCTTCAGACGGCGTATGTGCCAACGCAGGCAGCTTGGATGAGACAGAGGGCGGGGACATGATGGAAATTGACTCGGCGAATATTTCATAATTACAACATTTTATTTACTCCGCACATTAAATATTTATAATCTAACAGAAGTCGACATCAACATCAAGATGATAACTGCTGTAGTCATCTTGATCAAGAACCCCTTGTAGGTATATCTCCATTTCTTATAAAGATACCGGGATTTTCTACATCTTGAGATCCGAAGTTAGCACAGCCACATAAATTAAGGATTATTAATGAACTAGAAAAGCTTTAAAAGTGAACTACAAGAAAGGGTGTGTAGTTGACGCAGTGTCAGGAATTAGTATAGCGGTATCAGGGACTAAAAATCTTGTATCAGATATTGTGTTAGGTTTTTACCTTAGGGGCCGTCGTGAGAGTGAAAAATGGTGATTTAATAATAATACTGTTGAAAGCATTCTGCCTCCTGTCACCGCCTGCTTATCCAGGTAAAAGTATCGCGTGTAATTCCTCTAACTGTAGTAGGTACCCTTCTATAATCTAGTTCCTTATTTGGGTTTAGCAGTAACCGTTTATTTCCTTTTTATTATAATTATTTATTTATGTCACGGGCTTGGCAGTGGGTAGGTGCGTTTCTACCCGCCAAGACCGTTCAGTAGGTCTGTAGGACGGTTACCGACTGAGCTACTAAAAAGACCAGAATACCAAGT